AAGTCTTCTTAACCCTGAAACCACTGGAGTGGACCATCCCTAAAATGGTTCACCTCAACTTCTGCCTCCTAGGTTCTAACAGGCCTGCTTCTGTTGAAGGGCACTCTGTGCTGCTGAGCTCAATCTTCCTATTAAATGAACCTAAGAAAGATCAATAATTTTGAACTCACTCTCCTCACTGCCACCAAATGCTTATGATTTAATCACATGTAGAAATGAAATTTTCGTCCAATATACAGAATTGCTTTCTATCTATAGTAGCAAAATATCAAGTCATGTACATACTGCATAGATTGTAGACTCGGTAGTGGTTTGGATGTTTGGTATCCAGGAACCTCACAACTTCCTAAAAGAGACAGACACATATCTTACTATCCAGCATAACCTAGGAATGACCTAGGAGTTAGTTGCAGGAACACAATGTCTGTTACTTCTGTTTGTCTCTCACTCATGCTTTCTAGGGGATATTCATAGAATATGAAGGTACATGCAGTCCAAGTCATGTCTAAGCCATGGATGGTTTTCAGACAGTTCACCAAATGTGCCTGGCTACTCAAATTATTCTCTACTCTAAATGTGCATTGTTTACTGCCACCAGAGGAGGAAATTAGCTGATTAGCCAGCTTTATTTTATGTATTGTCCAAATAATTAATTTCCAGTTGACATATAGTTCTTATTTAATTCTGATTCTGAATAGATATCTTTTAGATAACATTCTGATTATTATGGAATAACTAAGAATTACATAAAAATGCAAAAGTACATAGTATTATTGTGTGTATACATGAAAGAAAAAGATAAATTCTATCAAATTTTAGATAAGTCATGGCAATATGGAGATATTTGATTCATTTCTTTTAAAAATGAATATATATTTGTGTATATGTAATTTTAAAAATAAATAATAGCTGTTACTTAAAATACAGCGAAAATACATGATATCAATCCATTATGATATTTTACCTTAGAGAGTAAGATTTCAGAGGAATACTAACAAACCTGGGTCAACAGTAAACTGTGACTCCACATCTGTGTACGCAGAGAAATGAGTATTTACTAGATAAATACTCTTACCTTAATTGGATTCCTGTAGAAAGACTGTTTACCAGAAGATGGAAATGACATGGCGATTATGCGATCTGAAAGTCAAAATAGTCATTGTTATGAATGTGATTAAGGATGTGAAATAATACATGAAAATTCATTTTAAGTATATTTAGATACTTTTTTAATAGAAAAGAACTTTCAATGGGTTAGCCTAGTGGTATATTGGGGTAAGCGGCTTCCTGTGAGGCTGACATCGTATATGAGTGTCAGTTTGAATCCCAGCTGCCCCACTGCTGATCCAGCCCCCTACTAATGCATCTGGGAAAGCAGCAGAAGATAGCACAAATACATGATCTTTTGCCATCCATGTGGGAGACCCAGATGTAGCTCCTGGCTCCTGGCCTGGCCCAGCCCCAGCCAATGCAGCCAACTTGGGAGTGAACCAGTGAATGGAAGATATTTCTCTTTCTCTCCCTCTTTCTCCTCCTCTCTCTTTTCCTCTCCCTCTCTCTGTAACTCTACCTTTCAAATACAATAATGGAAACTTTGAAAAAACAATTCAAGATTGAGGTTCACAGAAAAAAGCTAACCCAGACTCAGGATAATCAAGAGAATATACTAAATCATCCAAGGTAATGACCAATAAACTGTCATGGCGAGCTAAGACTCAGTTGATTCTAATAATATGCCAGAGCACCCTGTGAAGCACCAGAGGAAAACTGAGAGGTCTGGGTTCCAGTGATGGTGGGAATTTCCAGGGTTTCAACACTCCTGACTCAAAAGACTTAAGACCTACAAAGCAGTGGCCTCCATCTCTGGGGTTCTAGGAAGAAAAGAGGACTCTCTGGAATCTGTAAGACCCAAGAGAACTATCAGAACTCAATAAATTCTCAAGAAACTCAAATGGCATCAGAAGAAATCATTCAACTTTCTGTACAGCAGTCAAGTATCCCTGATTTGGTATGATATGGTGATCTTCTATTGTGAGAATTAAACTACGGATATGTCATACCACCCAACTGGCATATGTGTTTGTGGGGAAAAGAAAAACTGGGAAGAAAATGGCTTAGAAAGGGTAAAAGAAAAAGAAAAATTTAATTGCACACAAGAAAAATAGGACATTAATGTAAGTAAATTGACAGCTAAGCTTCACAAACCAGTTACGTAAGTGAGATCCAGGTCAAATCCATCTCTGTTGTATCTCCTTTTGTTTCCTGAAACCTGAGAGTTCAAAACAGTCATTAACTTATTTGTAAAACACAAATCAACTTAGAGGTAGAGAACATTATGCAGGTATCTACAACCCTTGCCATTATGTCCCCAAACTCATGTTTTGCCCACTCACCAATCTTCTGGTCAGCTTTTCAAGTTGTCTTTTTTGGTAAGCCAGATGGAAAACTCTTACCAAAATTAAGAGGCGTAGAGGTCGAAGCAGAACAGCCAGCCTAACAAACATTTAAAAGATCAATGTTTTGTTTCAGAAACAGGATTTTATCAGGATGGACAAAGTCTGGAGCAGTGGTTCTTAACCAGGGGAACGTATGCCACCTACTCCTGGCCACCCACCTAGGGGAACCTCGCATTGGCTGGAGACATTTTGGATTGTCACAGCTGCTGGTATGGGGTGCTACTCACATCTAGTGGATAAAAGCCAGGATTGCTACCAAATACCATACAATGAATAAAATTGTCCTCTTCCCCATAACAAAGAATTATCTGACTTAAAATGCCCATAATGATAAGTTGAGAAATTCAGCCTAGAAAAATAGTAATAAGTTCTTAGAATTTGTTTATTCAACATTTACAGTTTAAGAAATATTCAAGTTTTCCCCATCAAAACAAACTTACTATTCAACAGTGTTATTCTCCTCAGTAACATAGGTTCACTACCACTGCTAATGAACGTCAGGCAGATAGCAGATTGACACCCTTCCCAAGTGCGCTAGCTGGGAACTGATCTTCTGGACTAGTACTTCTCTAACTTGGGCACACATAAATGCATCATCTGGAAGAGCTTGTTTAAAGATAGACTGCTTGGGTGCCAGAGCCACAGATTTAGTAGGTGTGGAATGGGGATCAAGGTGTTTTTCTCCTAGCATTTCTAGTAAGCCCTCAAGTAATGCTCAGGTTGCTTATAGAGGACCACATTCGCTCATGCTATTTTCTTCTATTAAATTCTATTTAAGCTGTAAAATGTTCATATGTTTCAAATATACAGATTTAGGAATATGGTGGCACTTTCCTCCCACCCCTCCCTCCACAGCTTGTTATTTTCAAACAACTCCAAAGCCTAACACATAACACAGTTAATTGGGTCTGAACTGAAGCCTTATCAAAGCTGGAGTATAGAAGAAAGCCAGCTATTTGACTAATGGATAAGCCTGGTGAGCTCCCGCCTACTATATGTGCATCCCAAATCATATTTGCTTCTTTTCCTCATTGCTCCAGTAAAAAAGAAAAATTCCTAATCCTGAACGGTTCTAACTTTGCCTCAACTTTCCTCATTTCTATGATAACTGTGCTGCAAAACCACCTCTGCATTGCTATCCATATCACTTCTGGGTTTTCTGTTTTGTTTGCTGTTGTTTAAGACTCATGATTAAAGTCATTTGAATTTTGCCTATGCTAAAATCAAAGGTTTGAAGTATGTGGAAATTTATCTAAGATTTCATTTTTAAGTAGCTTATTTAGTACAGAATCAGAATATTCCAAGTTAAAAAGACTATATGGAATAAATGCTACAGAAAATACAAAAAAATTTAAAAACTGAGAGATATATGTTTCATACCTTGGTATGTCTTTCAGAATTCTTAGGTCAAAAAAGAAGTAAATGGTATCAATCACGAGAGTTATTGCAATAATGACAGTATCTAAGGTGTTAAATAGATCAGAAAAATATTGCTTCCTCCTGCAATATAAAAAAATAGTTTGTCCCTCACAAGGGAAGATAGGAATATATTTAAAGTGCATATTATTTGACTCATTCCAATTAAGCAATCTACTTTCAATAATTATTTAAAATGTAAGTTCTAGTTTCAATTTCGATAAAAATGAAATGTGAATGGCAATTTTACATACAGAAAATTTATATTCATTATGAGATTTGTATATATAACTAAAGCTTTAATATGGCAGTTTCAGTGTAGTAACAGATGGAGGAGAACCACAGAATAAGAGGCAAGCATTGATTTCATGTAGGTGACAGAAGAAATGTGGGGTGTTGGGCAATGGAAGGTGAATATTTCACAGCATTAGAGCACCTGGAGCTGTGAGGAGTTATAACAGAGAAGCTTATGAGAGAAAGAAGCATCACTATTTAGACCAGCAAACTCATGGTCTGGCTCTGAACCGACACTGGAATACCTGCAGGCTTGTGTAGCCTCCTTTAGGCAAAGATGAACTCCATCCACCACAACTTCTTTCTCAAAGTGGCTCCTTCAGACATGGTCACTTGTTCTCCAGGGAATGCTTCTTCTGAGTCAAGGAGGCCCCTTTCAGGGACTGAGAAACCTGACTTTGGGCAACTATGCTTAGTTCAATGGCATGAGGATGGGGAGTCAACAGAGAGGAGACATACTGCCTTCTGAGATCCTCTGGATGAAAGGAGGCTGGAGAACTTAGTCCTTGACTCCCCTATTGGTCATGTCCAAGGCTTGCCTCATACCACACACTTTCTCAGAAAGCTGGCAGAGAAAAAGTGACCGCTGCTTCACTGCCCTCTAATGGGAAGAGCATGCTTCATGTCTCCGCTTCACCTCACTAAAATTATTTTTTTAGAGATTATTTACATGAAGGGCAGATATATATATATATATATATATATATATAGAGAGAGAGAGAGAGAGAGAGAGAGAGAATCTGCTGATTCACTCCCCAAATGGCCCAACCTGCTACGGCTCTGACAGGCCAGAGCCAGGAGCTTCATTCAGGTCTCCCTCATGAGTGCAGTGGCCTACGGACTTGGGCCATCTTCCACTGCTGTCCCAGGTGCATTAGCATGGAACTGTATTGGAAGTAGAGCAGCAGGAACTCTAACTGCTTGCCATATGGGATGCTGGTACTGCACTTGGCAGCTTAACCCACTGCACCACAGTACCGACTCCAAAAATTTCATTCTGAGATAAGACACAGAGTTATTTATTATTTATTATATAGTACTTAGTATACTGTTAAATGTCGATTATAATTCAATTATTTTTTAAAAATATTCATTTTTTTGAATGGCAGAATGACAAAGACACAGTGACAGAGAAACAGGGACATTAACAGAGAGACAGAGAGAGAATGTCTCATCTTCTGGTTCACTCCCCAAATGACGGCAATGGCTAGGGGTGGGCCAGGCCAAAGACAGTAGCCAGGAACTCTATCCAAGTCTTTCATGTAAGGGCAGGGTCCAAATACTTGGGCCATCTTCCACTGCTTTCATAGAAGTATAAGCCGAGAGCTGGATAAGAAGTGGAACAGCTGGGACTTGAACTGTTGCTCTGAAATGGGATGCTGGCATTGTAATGTGGCAATCTAGCTCACTCAGTCACAGTGCCAGCAACATGAGTCAACTCTTTTTTTTACATTTATTCATTTATTTTAAAAGCAGGGTTACAGAGAAGCAGAGAGAGAGAGGGAGAGAGAGAGAGAGAGAGAGAGGGAGAGAGGTCTTCTATCCACTGGCTCACTTCCCAGTTGGCCACAATAGCCAGAGCTACGCCAATCTGAAGTCAGAGGTCAGGAGCTTCTTGTTGGTCTCCAACACAGGTCTTCCACTGTTTGCCCAGGCCATAGCAGAGAGCTGGATCGGAAGTGGAGTAGCCAGGACAAGAACCGGTACCCATATGGGATCAGCACTGAAGGAGGCAGATTTACCCACTACACCACAGTGCTGGTCCCATGACTCAACTCTTAATAAAAGTATCAATATTTGTACTCATATATGTATTCTTATTTCTTTTTGAATATTTTGTTATTTTAATTGTACATATTTATATTTACTTTGATAAGTTGATACATGTTTTTAATGTGTGATTATAAAATCAGCTTAGGTAGAATTTTACCTCCTTAAACATCTTTTCCAAATCTTTATTATTATCATTATTATTATTTATTTGACAGATAGAGTTAGACAGTGAGAGACAGAGAGACAGAGAGAAAGGTCTTCCTTCCATTGGTTCACCCCCCAAGTGGCCGCTACTGCTGGAGCTACAATAATCTGAAGCCAGGAGCCATGTATTTCTTCCTGGTCTTCCATGTGGGTGCAGGTGCAGAAGCACTCTCTCTCTCCCTCTTTCTCTCTCTCCCTCTCTCTCCCTCTCTCTCTTGCTCTCTCTCTCTCTTCACTGCCTCTCCTTCTCTCTCTGTTTAACTCTGAATTTCAAATAAATAAATAAATCTTTAAAGAAAGAAATTGATAGGGGGGCCGGTGCCACGGCTCAATAGGCTAATCCTCTACCTTGCGGTGCCGGCACACCGGGTTCTAGTTCCGGTCGGGGCACCGGATTCTGTCCCGGTTGCCCCTCTTCCAGGCCAGCTCTCTGCTGTGGCCAGGGAGTGCAGTGGAGGATGGCCCAAGTGCTTGGGCCCTGCACTCCATGGGAGACCAGGATAAGTACCTGGCTCCTGCCATCGGATCAGCGCGGTGCGCCGGCCGCGGAGGCCATTGGAGGGTGAACCAACAGCAAAAGGAAGACCTTTCTCTCTGCCTCTCTCTCACTGTCCACTCTGCCTGTCAAAACAAGAAAGAAAGAAAGAAAGAAAGAAAGAAAGAAAGAAAGAAAGAAAGAAAGAAGGAAGGAAGGAAGGAAGGAAGGAAGGAAGGAAGGAAGGAAGGAAGGAAGGAAGGAAGGAAGGAAGGAAAGAAAGAAAGAAAGAAAGAAAGAAAGAAAGAAAGAAAGAAAGAAAGAAAGAAAGAAAGAAATTGATAGGATATCATTCTTTCTTATGGCTGAATAATTTGCCATTGTGTATATATGTCACATTTTCTTTTTTTATGCATACATTTATGGGCACCTAGGTTGATTTCACATCTTGGTATTGTGAATAATGCAGCAATAAACATGAGATTGCAGGTGTTTTTATGACATGCTGAATTACTTTTCTTTGAATTTGTGAAGTGAGATAACTGGATCATATGGTGTGGTACATATATTATTTTAAATATCTATTTATTCACTTATTTATTTTAAAGACAGAAATAGAGAGAGGGAGAGGGAGAGATCTCCCATCTGCTGATTCACTCACTCCCAAAATGCCTACAACAACTGGGATTGGGCCAGCTCAATGCTAGGAGTCAGGAATTCAATCCAGGTCTCTTCTGTGGATGGCAGGGACTCACGTGCTTGAGTAATCACTTACTTCCTCCCAGGAAGCACATTAGTGGGAAGCTGGTTTGAAGTGTGGAGCTGGGACTTGAACACAGGCACTCTGGTGTGGATGTAGGTGTGTGAAGCAGTGGCTTAACCCACTGTGCCAGGACTTGCCCCCAGGTATATCTGTTTTATTTTCTTGAGGAGCCTCCACACCTGCTGTACTAATTTACATTCCCTTCAACAGGGTATATGAATTGCTTTTTCCCACATCCTGACCAGCCTTTATGGGTTTTTTGTCTTTTTGGTAATAGCCTTTCTAACTGGGATGAGATAATATCTCATAGTTTTAATTTGTATTAACTGATGAGATTGAGAAATTTTTCATAAATTTAGCCATTTGAATTTCTTCTTTTGAGAAATGTCTAAATGTATCATTTTCACATTTTAAAATTAGATTTTTTGAGGCCAGCATTGTGGCATAATGGGTTAAACCACTGCCTACAATGCTGGCATCCCATATGGTCACCAGTTCGCATTTGGGCTGCTCCACTTCCAATCTAGCTCCCTGTTAATGTGAAGTGGAGAATGATCCAACTGCTTTGGCCCCTGAACCCATGTGGGAGACAGATCAAGCTCCTGGCTCCTGGCTTTGGCTTGGTCCAGACTTGGCCATTATGGCCACTTGAGGAATGAACCAGTAAATGGAAGATCTCTCTCTCACACTCTCTCTCTCTCTCTCTGACTCTCACTTTATCTCTCCACAACTCTTTCAAACATATAAATTTTTTTGGAAATGTGAATTTTTCTATAGACATCTTTTAGTTCTTTACATATTCTGTATATGAATCCTCTGTCAGATATATAGTTTACGAATATTTCTCCTATTTTGTAGTTTGTCTATTCACTGTGTTTATTGTTTCTTTGGCCATGCAGATGCCTTTTAGTTCAATGAAATCCCATTTGTCTATTTTTGCTTTTTGTTCATTGTACTTTTGTGGTCTTATCCAAAAACCCATTGCTTATATTGATGCCTTTATGTGTTTCTCCTATGTTTTCTTCTAGATGTTTCACAGTATCAGGCCTTATATTTAGGTTGATCTATATTGAGTTGATATATGTATAGGGTGAGAGGTAGGGAAGGGTGATGTTTTAATCTTCTGTCTATGGATATTCAGCTTTCCCACCATCATTATAGAGGACATTGTCCTTTTTCCATGGTATATTTTTCGTGACTAAGTTGAGAATCTGTTGGTTATGGATGTGTGGATTTATTTCTGGGATCTCTACTCTGTTTCATTGTTCTATGTGTCCTTATGCCAATACCATGATATTTTGGTTACTATCACTTGATAACATGTTTGTGTTGCTTCAAGCTTCGTTCTTTTTGTTCAGGATTACTTTGGCTATTTGGGGTCTTTCGTGCTTTTGTGTGAATTTTAGGATTTTTTTCTAGTTATGTAAAGAATAATTGTATTGAATCTGTAAATTGCATTGAGTAATGTGGACATTTTAACAATCCTAATTCTTCCAATCCACAAACATGGGACCTCATTCCATCTGTATGTGTATGTATTCTTCAATTTCTTTTATCAATGTTTTGTGATTTTCATTGTAGAGGTTTTTCTAATCTTTGTTTAAATTTATTCCATGATGCTTTTTAAAAATTGGATATTGTGAATGAGACTGCTTTTATGATTTCCTTCTCAGCAAGATCCTTACAGGTATGTAACAAGGCTGCCAGTGCCATTGTGGTGCAGCAGGTTAAGCCACCACTTGGGACACCCACATTCCATATTGGAGTGCCTGGTTTGAATCCCAGCTACTCTGCTTCTGATGCAGCTTCCTAATAATGTGTCTGGGAAGGCAGCAGATGATAGCTCAAATACTTAGGCCCCTATCACCCATGTGGGAGACCAAGATGGAGTTCCTGGATTCTGGCTTCAGCCTGGCCTAGACCTGGCCTAGACCTGGCCTAGACATGGCCTAGACATGGCTGTTGGGGTAGTGAACCAGCAGGTGGAAGATCTTTCTCTCTGTCTCTGCTTTTTGCTCTTTCACTCTGCTTTTTAGATAAATAAAACTTTTTAAATGCTATTCATTTTTCTAGGTTGATTTGGTGTACTCCAACATTACTGAATTTATTATTTCTTTTTTTAAAAAGATTTATTTATTTATTTGAAAGTTAGAGTTACACAGAGAGAGAAGGAGGGACAGAGAGAGAGAGAGAGAGGTCTTCCATCTGCTGGTTTACTTCCCAATTGGCCGTGACAGCTAGAGCTATGCCAATCCAAAGCCAAGATCCAGGAGCTTCTTCCAGGTCTCTACATGGGTGCAGGGGCCCAAGGACTTGGGCCATCTACTACTGCTTTCCCAGGCCATAGCAGAGAGCTGGATCAGAAATGAAGCAGCCAGAACTCAAACCAGCACCCATATGGGATGCCAGCATTGCAAGCGGTGGTTTTAACCACTATGCCACAGCGCCAGCCCCATCTGTTTATTATTTCTAACATTCTTTTGGTGGGATATTTAGGTGTTTCTGTACATTGAATTATATCATCTATAAATATGTATAATTTGACTTCCCCTTCCTATATGCCTTTTTTTTTTTTTGACAGGCAGAGTGGACAGTGAGAGAGAGACAGAGAGAAAGGTCTTCCTTTGCCATTGGTTCACCCTCCAATGGCCACCGCGGCTGGCACGCTGCGACCGGTGCACCGCACTGATCCAATGGCAGGAGCCAGGTACGTCTCCCATGGGGTGCAGGGCCCAAGCACTTGGGCCATCCTCCACTGCACTCCCGGGCCACAGCAGAGAGCTGGCCTGGAAGAGGGGCAACCAGGACAGAATCTGGCGCCCCAACCGGGACTAGAACCCGGTGTGCCGGCGCCGCAAGGCGGAGGATTAGCCTAGTGAGCCGCGGCACCGGCTCCCTATATGCCTTTTAGTTTTTTCTCTTGCCTAATAAATCTGGCCAAAGCTTCCAGTGTGGTAGTGAATATAAGTACTGAGAGAGGACATTACATTGTGTCATTCTGGATCTTAGAGGAATGGCTTTCAGCTTTTCCCCATTCAGTGCAATATTGGCTATCAGTTTTTCATCTATAGCCTTTATTACTGAGGTACATTCTTCATATACCTAATTTGTTCAGAGTTTTCATTATGAATTGGTTGGATTTTACTGAGTGTTTTTTCTGTATCTATTAAGATCATCAGGATTTTATCCATTACTTTGATGTGGTATATAATTGATTGACGTTGTTTCCATCATCCTTGCATCCCCAGGATAAATCCCATTTGATCATGATGAATGATCCTTTTGATGTGCTGCTGGATTCAACTTATTCATATTTTGTTGGGAATTTTTGTTATCTATATTCAGCACATGTTCCCCCTGTTAATGTGCATATCCTTTCGTTGCACACAAGGTCCTATTTTGCATTCTCTTTAAGCTTTATCTGCCATAGAAGCTTCTAGAATGCACTGTTGGAGAATATATATTATTAACATGCAATCAATGAAAAACTGGGATTAGAATTATTATTTCTGTATGGGCTGTGCCTTCCAGGAGAATGATTCTGATAAAGAGGGACAAATTTGTTTGGACTAACCTACTAATTATTTTGGGATATGTCTTACGATAATATAAAATTATTTTGTGTGCTAAGAAAAAAAGGAATCAAACTTACCCCTCAACATATATTCTGAGTAGAACATCAAAGAGAAAAAAGAATGCAATAGCCAAAGAAGTTGAACGAAATTCCAAAACCATTGTGTTATCATTGAAAAGTACATCTGACACAATGAGAAATATGTCCACAAATATGAGTAGAATTCCAAATATTCTATAATAAACAAAATGTAAATAATGATTATGCAGATAAAGATATTTTTGTTCTACAGTTAGACTATATTTAGTTTAACAATATGTAATTATTTAGGATTAAGCTGTCAGATTAAAAGGAGGACTATGCTGCCTCAGAATCTCAAAAATATTACTCGGTTTTCACCCAACCAAAGCAGTAGCTGGTGAATAAAATTCTCACCAGCCCATTTTACAACATGTTATTTTGTCTTTTTATAGGATGCATATCAGACTAACTCCTCAAGACACAGCAGGAAAACAATATTAGAATTATATGTCTCTGTTTGTAAATTATGCTTGTAATTTGAGAATTTCATAAGGAGTAGCTATGAAGTTCCCATAAAATTTAAACCTTATTAATCTGGAGAATATTTAAGAATTTGGTAATAAAAACTAATTTCTGGGCATACTTAACATTAATGTCTTCAAAGATGAACTTTGACTAGTAAGATTATTTTATCAGTATTTTTTTCAACAAGTACATGATTACATATTCATGGGTACTTCTGACCCAGTAATTCTCACATAAGAAATAATTCAATTCTATCAGTATTTTGATTGTTGAACTTTAAAGTGCCTCCTATGTCTTTTTCTTATAAATTCTAAACACATTCTTTAGAAATTGATTATGTTTTAGTAGTATGTGAAGTTGAATTAATCTTCAATGTACTTTGTGATAATTCCAACTTAAATGAGAATATTAATTTAAAAGGAATTATATTGTATTAATCTGTATGAAGTCTTCCTCTCCTCTTTGTACAGAAGAGGAACTAGTAAAATGGTTCCAAAATTAAAAAGTAATTCTAGTGTGTATGGTATTTAACAAAATGCTCTATGGAATTTTATCTTGTATGCTTCATTATTTTCACTTTTACAGAAAGAAAAACTTACCAGTATATTACTGTTAGATTTAGGCAAATACTAGTTCTTTGCAAGTCCTGATGTCTAGCTTAAGCCAGAATTCCAAGACAAATTAGATTGCATAAAAGCAAAGCACATGGTATATTTAACAACATTTTTTTAAAAAAACACATATAGTTTATGAGTGCTTTAATGCGGCAATAGCATAGTTATTTAACAACTTATTAATGGTAAAATATTTTTGTTTTGTTTACATATAATTTTCCATTAGAATAATGATATTAAATGTCATACATATTTAATTACATTCTTTTTAAAAGTATCACCTGAATGCAAAGGATGATACAATTAAGCGAGCAATGTTCTTTATCCTGCTGCTGCAAAAAAGAAGGAAATACACAATCAATCACAGATTTCCATTAAAATACATTATGATTTTAATTCAGGAAGGCACTTCGAACAATTTTACAAGAAAAATTTTCAGAAGTTGTAAAACAAAGTCCATTTTGCTAATAACTGAAATGTGTTTAGCTTTCTGCAGCATCAGGTTTTGTGTGTGAGTAGAACACCAAGCTTTGGATATTTAGTAACATTGCCCTTAGGTATAAAGCCCTGACTCTAACTAAATGGTAATATTAAATGTGGGGACATCAACTAATGCACATAGTATGGACAAGAAAAGAGTGGTAAGATAGAACTATTTTCTTACATCAACTCTTCCATGAATGAGCTAGGGCATTGTGGGCAGGTCACCAGATTCAGGATAGACCTCAGGATCCACAGCAGTAAGAGATTTCAGGGATGGGCATCAGGAATAAATGGTATTCTTATCCCATAATGTTCATTTGTTGCTACTGGATTTCCAGTGAACAGATAATCATTAATGAGAGCTACAGTTGGAGTTGCAAATGTACTTTGGAGGTAAGGAAGTTAGGCACGTATTTCCAAGGAAAAATGTCCTAAAGACTGAGCACCTTCCATTCATGACAGGAACAAAAGCCTGGTTGATGTAGTCTCTAGTGATGCTTCATTTTACCACATGGCTACAGACAAGGTAACTACTGGGGACCGATTTCCTACCCTGCTGAAACCTCCAATGCAAGACTCAAATTCCATCCCAAGTGGAATCAATCACAACACAGCTCTGACAGCCTGTGCCCAAAACTGGAGAATGGAGACAACAGATACCGAGTAGACCTTAGGACATGGATGAATGTTGTTAGGGTAACCTTAATTATAAGAAAGCTCCAATACTTTTAATATCCCCTTAATCTACCTGCACCCACCTTTTCCACTCAGGCTTAAAAAGCTAAGACTTAGGTAGATGGGCAACTGAATGATTAAAGAAGTAAAATTTACCTTGAGGTAGGCATCCTCTTATTACAAGCCCTTTCTGACTCCTGCAGTGCACTGGATCTCCAGGAAGCAAAGAATTGTTACAACCCTGAAATTGCTTAACAGTGTGGCCACAGAGAACCATGCTTGACAGAAACATGGAGGCACAAAGGAGTAGCTTGGAATGACACTAGCCTCTCTATTCTTTTTCTGCATCTTTTCAAAACTATCCAGAGTAAATATACAATTCAGACTATTTTGTTCTTATCAAAATATGCAATTTAAGTGCAGCTTCAAACAGTGTTGGAGGGAATGCAAATCGGATGCAAAATATGATGAATATTCCTCAAGAAACTAAAAATAGACCTGCCATATGATCTTGCTATCACACCCCTGGGAATATATGCAAGGCAAATGAAATCAGTATATGAAAGAGGTAGCTGGACTCCCATGTTTATAGCAGCTCAATAATTGACAATAGCAAAAACATGGAAGCAACTCAGATATCCATCAAATGGTGACAGATAATGAAACTGTGATGCCATTGTCTTTTAGTAAAATGTTCAGAAAAAGAAAATGTGGGCCGGCACCGTGGTTCACTAGGCAAATCTTCTGCCTTGTGGCGCCGGCACACCGGGTTCTAGTCCCGGTCAGGGCACCGGATTCTGTCCCTGTTGCCCCTCTTCCAGGCCAGCTCTCTGCTGTGGCCCGGGAGTGCAGTGGAGGATGGCCCAAGTGCTTGGGCCCTGCACTCCATGGGAGACCAGGATAAGCACCTGGCTCCTGCCATTGGATCAGCGCGGTGCGCTGGCTGCAGCGCGCCGCCGGCCATTGGAGGGTGAACCAACGGCAAAAGAAAGACCTTTCTCTCTGTCTCTCTCTCTCTCACTGTCCACTCTGCCTGTCAAAAAAAAAAAAAAAAAGAAAGAAAAAAAAAAGAAAAAGAAAATGTGGCATATATGCCTAATGGAGTATCACACAGTCATAACAAAGAATGAAATCCTGACATTTGGAACAAGTGGATAGGACTGGAGATCATTAGATTATGTGAAATAAAGCAGACCAAGAAAAACAAATATCACATATTTTCTGTTGTTTGTGGAAGTTAATATACAGGGAGAGTATAAAAATTGTATGGCTGTCATCATTTGGCATATAGTTATTAAATATTGCTTCTCTCATTCATACCATGTACATGACACTATCTCCTTCTTTCTTCACATTTTGATCATGATCATAAATACCTCACTTTGTCATATTAATCTGTTTTCAAGAAAAAATAGTAGGAGCTGGGCTTTGGCACAGCAGGTTAAAGCCCCTGCCTGTAGCACCAGGATCCCATATGGGGGCCAGTTAAAGGCCTGGCTGCTTGAATTCCGATCTGGCTCACTGCCAATGTGCCTAGGATAGCAGTTGAGGATGCCTGCAACCACCTGGAAAACCCAGAGGAAGCTCCGGGCTCCTAGCTTCAGATCTCCTCAATGCTGGCCGATGTGATCATTTGGGAAGTGAACTAGTGAATGAAAGGCCTCTCTCTCTGTTTCTACCTCTCTCTGTGACTCTGTCTCTGAAAGAAATAAAATAAAACTTTTAAAAGAAGAACAAATAGTATATATGTATGTGTATATAATCTCCACATATGAAGTGAATGTGGCAAAATGTTAACAATTAATAAATTTTCAAGCTGAAAAAATAATAAACTTATAAAATAGAAAGGTACCTACAGATAAAAGGAGACTTTAGAAAACAATGTCGGCCGGCGCCGCGGCTCACTAGGCTAATCCTCCGCCTAGCGGCGCTGGCACACCAGGTTCTAGTCCCGGTCGGGGCCCCGGATTCTGTCCCTGTTGCCCCTCTTCCAGGCCAGCTCTCTGCTGTGGCCAGGGAGTGCAGTGGAGGATGGCCCAGGTGCTTGGGCCCTGCACCCGATGGGAGACCAGGAAAAGCACCTGGCTCCTGGCTCCTGCCACCGGATCAGCGCGGTGCGCCGGCCGCAGCACGCTGGCTGCGGCGGCCATTGGAGGTTGAACCAACGGCAAAGGAAGACCTTTCTCTCTGTCTCTCTCTCTCACTGTCCACTCTGCCTGTCAAAAAAAAAAAAAACTATGTCAAAGACATACTGTATTGTCACTGATGCTGCTAATCAGAACTTCTCAAATCTCCATCTCTCTGTGTATGTCTGTGTGTGAGTGTGTGTGTGTGTCTATTTACATGTGTGTTGGTTTACATATACAAATAAGGATTCATTTATAGAGAGCTCACGTTTCATCGATGCCTTCATCAACAGATATTGCTGTTGACTCACTGAAGGTGGTGCTGGAGGATTAAAAATGTGTATATCAGATACAACATAATTTCCTAGATTTTATCTTAGTTCAAGTATTTATAATTACTCATTAACTTATAAACTGGTTTATCTTTAAAAAAACAATTTAAAAAGTTAAACTGTAGACATGTCAAAAAGTTAACAACTACAGATTTAAGTATAGTTGTTTACAGTTGAACCTAACCACAATTTGTAACAGTATTTATTTCAAAATTCACCCTGAGTTTGCAGGTACCTATTTCTCTTGCTCCATCCAATTTCATGATTCTCAAGTACAGTCACCATCTCAATCTCCATGATCATAACATCTCTACAGCCCCTCAGGTAAGGTCAAGCAGACCTGAAGTGGCAGCTCCTTTTAACGTGATGGTGTGTTTGTGGGTAGGCACCAGCCTCACATGGTGGCACAGCTCTGGAGAGTGAAGGATACATCCAGGATGCATTAGCTTTATTCTTTTCTGCTGAGGGCACCTCAGCTGCTGTCATTGCCACTTCCTTGTTCCATCCCGATGGCTTTCTCTGCAGCCTTGGCCTGCTCTAGTAAAGTGTCATACTTTCTGATACTTTCCTAAAGGTTTTGGCTGCTACAAACTAAGGGTGAAGTAAGCAGTAACAAGAGAAGTAGGTGAAGTAAGAAGCAAGAACAAGAGAAGTAGGTGAAGTAAGAAGCAAGAAGACTCCCTTCTCAAACTATCATTATTGTTTTTATATGAAGATTAAAAACAAAGAGTATTACATACTGAAGAAAAGAACATACATACATACATACATACATGAAAAGTATATTAGGAATGGCATGGAAGGAACTCTGTATTCCCATGGATGCTCCTGACAGTGACTATCCCAAATTCTCTCTCTCTCTCTCTCTCTCTCTCTCTCTCTCTCACACACACACACACACACACCAGTTCACTTTGTGGGGAGCAACTGGGAGCAACTCGGACTAGACTAAGTTACTGGAATTAAGACTTATTCTATGCATCTGCTCTCCCACAATATGGTGCTGGGAGAGGAGTAAACTTCTACACAGCTGCCTCTCGCCAATTTGATTGACTGAGCTGCAGGAGCTGATCCTGCTCCTGATTGGAGGAGAGCAGTGTACTCGGCGTGTGGGTAGCAGAGTTGGGATTGGTGGAAGAGGACTATAAAGGAGGAGAGAGACAACATGCACCAGGAACATCTAGAGGAACATCTATCTGAAGGAACATCTGAGGGAACATCTGAGCAGCCCCCGAGAGAGCTGGCCGGCGGTGTGCCGCTCCCCCGCGGAAGTGGGGAAAGTGGCTAGGGGGAACTGCCCTTCCACGGAGGTGGAAGGGACGGTAGCCAACCCGGGAAGAACCAGCAGCAAACCCGGGGAGGGCCGAGAAGACAAAAGAACAGCTCAGGATCCTGTGTCGTTCCTCCGCGAAGACGGGGAGCGACACACTTATATTTTATTACCTTGTATTGGTGCATTCACTTGGGGATGTTTTCAAGTCTGACTGGACAGTACTAGAGGATTAAAAAGGTACATAGTAAGATGCCATGTGACTTGCATAATTTGCTGTTTTACTTCAAAATGGTTACAATAACTCTTCAACTTATAAACTGGCTGACCCTTAAAAACTTCATATATAATTTTGGAATAGAATATACCATGTTCCTTAAAAATGATAATTTATATCACTGTATTAAGTACTTTAGTCCTGTCAAAAATGTAATGGTTCAGTATTAAAGTGCAGTTTCTTACTACTGAATCTGAAGCAATGTGTAAAAACCTTCTGTGATGGAATTTATTTGAAATTCAACTTTAGGATGCTTATTGCACCTAAAGCCCTGCTTCCTAAGCCCCTCCTTCACTTTCTTTAATTCATCAGGGTGATCTTGCTTCCCTTTAGACAGGGTCTAGTAGCTGGTAGCATGAGTCAGGGTTCCCTCCAATATGCTGTTATTTTTAGCCTCAGGGTACCTGCCTTACTAGGATGAGGGACACATCCAGGCACCATTACCACCTCCCCTTTCTGCTGAAGATTTATCTGCTCCCTCCCCATTTCTCCAAATATGACCTTTTCCTACTTTCAGCCAGTCCAATAAGGTCTCATACAGAGGATTCTGAAGATATCCTGATAGTTTGGCCAGTGATGCCCAGGGTATGAATAACATGGGGAAGAGGAAGCATTCAACTTGTAACATTTTTCTCTCTTATCCAATCCACCCCAAAAGAAAGGTGCCTACATAGGCTCCTTTTAATTTGGGATTTGGTTTGCTCTTATTTTTATAAGTCCTTAAGATTTCACATTAGATTCTTTATTTGATATCCTTCTTTTTTGAAATATAAGCATTTAAGCACTGATGCCAGATGAAAAGATGGTAGACATGCAACCAGCCATAACATGTTTTCAGAGCACTCAAGAGGTGACTTTTCCAGGGCTGTTAGCTTTTTGTTCCTCTTTTTTGCTTAAAGTTCCTTTGCTCCCTCTTCACTACTCTTTGTTCCAAATAATACTGAGTGCCCCAACCCCCTATGCTTGGCCCACTTTACTAAAATCTCATACACAAAACATTTGAGTTTCCTAAGTGTTTTCCTGTAACTAATGGTGATAATACACTAACAGGAAGAAGCATCTTCCATGATCTATTTTTCTTTTATCCAGTACAATCTTTGAAAGATGGAAATTTACCTACAGATGGTCTAGTGTGAAGGTCTCACTCTCCATTGCTGTGGCTTCTCCTGACTGTGAAGTTCCTATATCTCTTTTTTTAAAGATTTATTTATTTATTTGAAAGTCACAGTTACACAGAGAGAGGAGAGGCAGAAAGAGAAAGGTCCTCCATCCAATGGTTCACTCCCCAGATGGCTGCAACGGCCAGAGCTGTGCAAATCAGAAGCCAGGAGCCAGGAGCCTCTTCCTGGTCTCTCACTTGGGTGCAGGGGCCCAAAGACTCAGGCAACCCTCTACTGCTATCCCAGGCCATAGCAGAGAGCTGGACAGGAAGTGGAGCAGCTGGGTCTCGAACTGGCACCCATATGGGATGCCAGTGCTCAGGCCAGGACGTTAACCCACTGCACTGCAGTACCATCCCCAGTTCCTATATCTCAATCTCCACCTATGTGTGTGTATGTGTGAGTCCATAATCAATGGATGTGTGTGTGTGTGTGTGTGTGTGTGAGATAGAGAGAGTGTGTATGTATGTAGAAGTTATATATCTTATCCATCTATTTGTATTTATTTTTTTCTCAGAAACCTTTTATTTAAGAAATACTAACCATATATTTCATAATTACAGCTTCATAGATAAGGTAATTCTTCCCACTGTACCCACCCTCCTACCCAGTCTCCCACCCCTCTTTCTCCTCCCTCTCTTATTTTTTTAACTAAAATGTATTCAATTAGCTTTACACACATATGATTAACTCTATGTTAAGAGTTCAAAAAATAGTTGAAAAAACCCGTTCCTTCTGTAATTATTTGTTAATGTATCTTTATGTATTCATTTATGTCTCACATTTCATTGATAACTTCACCAAAAGGTGCTGGTCCATGTGAAGGAGAGCTAAAGAATTTAAAATACATATAATCAGATGCCACTTAACTTCCTAGGCTTAACTTTTTGGCTCAAATTAGATATAATTTATATACAATTCATAATCCTTCTGCTTATTGCAGGACAAGAGTCAATATACAGAATCAAACTAAATATCTATCAATAAATGAATAAAGTAAATGTGGTATATCGATATATACACAAAAGATGGCTACTTAGCAATTAAAAAGATAAATCTTGTCATTTGCAATGACATTAATGGAACTAGAAATATATTAAATGAAAAAGCTGGTCCATAAAGACAAATACAGTAAAACCTCATTAATACATAGAATCTAAAGACGTCTAGTTCATAGAGGTAAAGAGTAGAATAGTGCTTATCTGAGAACTGAGAAGGTAGGTGGGAATGGGGAAGAGCATTTCAGCAAGTTAAAAGTTACAGTCAGAGGGTGTGGTATTATGGCACAGTGAGGTTAAGCCACTGCTTGTGACACCCACGTGGCATATTGGAGCACAGTTGAGTCCAGCTTCCTGCTAATGTGCATATGAAAGCAACGTAAGATGACTGAAGTGTTTGGGCTCCTGCCAACTATGTAGGAGTGAAAGGGTTCCTGGTTTTTTACCTCAACCTGGCCCAGACCTGGCTTTTGTGGACGTTTGGAGAGTGAACATGGATGGAAGATTTTCTATCTCTCTCTCTCTCTTTCTCTCTCTGTCTCTCTCATGCTCTTTCATATGAATAAATAAATCATTTTTTAAAAAGGTTACAATCAGCAGTAATAAGTATTTTGGTTTTTTTTTTTTTTGACAGGCAAAGTTAGTGAGAGAGAAAGACAGAGAGAAAGGTCTTCCTTCCATTGGTCACCCCCTAAATGGCCGCCACAGCCAGTGCACTGCGCCAATCTGAAGCCAGGAGGCAGATGCTTCCTCCTGGTCTCCCATGCGGATGCAAGGCCCAAGCACTTGGGCCATCCTCCACTGCCTTCCTGGGCCTCAGCAGAGAGCTAGACTGGAAGAGGAGCAACTGGGACAGAACCAGCACCCCAACTAGGGCTAGAACCCAGGAATAAGCTTTAATATTCTATTGCAAGTAGGCTTATTACTGTCAATGATAATACATCATATATTTCAAGATAGTTAGAGGAGAGAACTTTAAATGGTTCAGCATAAGGAAATAATGCGTATATTAATGAATGTTATTGGCTCTGATGTGCTGATTATATGAAATATAATGCATTGAAGCATCGTATTGTACCCTGTGAATCTATACAATTTAAAAATGTGTTAAAGGCCTTCGTTGTGGCATAATATGTTCAGCCATCATCTGCAACACTAGCAACACATACAAGTACTGGTTCTCACTCTCTCTCTGTAATTCTTTTCAACTAACTAAATAAATTTTTTAATTTAAAAATATAAAAATATATAAGCATTTAAAATGCATTTGTATTTCTGAGGGAGGGAAGGAGAAAAAGAGAGAGAGAGAGAGAGAGATCTTTCATTTGCTTGTTTAATCCTCACATGTTTGCAACAGCCAAGGTTGGGACCCGCTAAACCCAGAAGCTCAGAACTTATTCTAGTTCTCTCACATGGGCTGCAGGGACTTAAATACTTGAGCCATCACCTGCTGCCACTCAGGGTGTACATTAGCAGGAAGCTAGAATTGGGAGCAGAGCAAGGACTGAAGCCCAAGCACCTTGATTTGGGATGCAAGCATCTCAATTAGCATCCTAACTGCTCCACCAATTGTCAGTCTCTGTGCATTAAAAAAATACTCTACTTGTCATAGAAGCTCCTGAAAGTGAGACTCGGAAATCTCAGTCTCCCTGTGTCATTGCCTTATGTTTTTTAGTGTGTGAGTATATGTGCATGTGTCTTTGTGTATATAGATAAATACATCTACTCACATTTCATTGGTTACTCTGTCATGGGTTACTTTTGTTGCTTCACTCAGATTTGGGATAAAGGATTAAAATGGTACATGTTTCTTTTTGGGTCTATGAGATTTGATCTAATGTATCTTTAAATATTCATGTGCATATCACCAATTTGGATTGGCATGTCAGTTCTAAAATTAGATTGAGTTTTTATAGAACAGTACTGAATATCCTAGATTTGTGAAATAGTAATACATCCAGACTAAGTAACTAGACCTTTTACATTTTTTAAAATTTATTTTCATTTCATTTGAAAGGCAGAGAGAATGTGAACTTCCATCCACTGGTTCACTTGCCCAAAAGGCCACAATAGCCAGAGCTGGACCAGGCTGAAGCCAGGAGCCTGAAAGTCCATCTGGATTTCTCATGTGGGTTCCAGGGACTCAAGTATTTGAGCCATCACCTGCCACCTCTCAGGATGCAGATTTTCAGGAAGCTGGATTGGAAACAGAGGGTCTTTGACTCTAACTAGGCACTCCAATATGCAATGTGAGCTCCCCACTATGAGATGAGAGTGTCTCAATTGACAAATGCCCACCTCATGTAAGTAGGTCTTCATGCTAAAATATAATCCTCATTTGCTATGAAACCTGCTTGAAGTTTAATTTCTGTTTTTAGGTCCCTATACTTTTGCTCCTTCAAATTTCTTGATTCTCCATTCCCTCCATTACATCTTTAATTTCACCTATCATGGTTGTATTTCTTGCCCAACGGATAGGTTTGAGAAGCTGCAGCCCTGAAGCAGGGACTCTATCCAGTGTGAGGATGTGTGTGGGTTTGGAGCATCAGCTTTGTATGGAGGCAGAGCTGTAGAGGAGGAGGGATAGACAAGCTTTCATTAGCTGAGGATTCCTCTGCTTTCTGCTCACTGCTACCTCCACCTTGCTTCAAACAGGATTCGCTCCTTCCTTTCACTCCAGTACAGTCTCTGCCTGGTAACCAAAGGTAATAAACAGTAGGAATAAGAAGTTCCCCTCTGTAAGTTGTTCTTTTTTCTACCTTAATCCAAAAGACAAAAATATTCCACGCTGAAGCTTACCATGAGAGGAGGGTAGAAGCGACCCTATTACAAGGAAACCCCATTACATGGATGTTCCTGACAATGAATAATCAAAATCCCAGATTTCTGTGTGCTCTTTGTGTGAATGCATGGATTTGCATGCATGTATGTATGTCTATAGAAAGAAAGAAACAGAGAAATGCAGACAGACAGACAGACAGACATAAATGTTTATTTATTCATTTATATCTTACATTGCTTTGGTTTTTCTCCCTGAGGATTCTGACTCATACAGGACATTGCTAAAGGATTAAAAAGGTACACAGTGAGATACCATATAACATCTTAGACTTACTTTTTAAGCTTAAAATATTTACAGTTACTTTTTAATTTATCAACTAGTTGTCCCCTGAACAAGTCACCTGTAAATCAGTTATTAGTTCTTCCCTCCATCACCTCTCCTTACTTTCACCCATCAACAGTTGTTTTTCTTCCTGTGAGGTATAATCAAGTATCTGCATGCCTTCCATCCAATGTAATGGTGAGTTTGGATTTTGGCACCAGCCTTAGATGGTTGCAGAGATTCGGAGGGTGAGGACTCCCCCAGGTTCCATTAGTTCTGTTCTTTTATGCTGAGGGCTCTGCTGCTTGCTGTCCACTGCTACCTCCAACTTATTTCAAAAAGTAGTCTCTCTTCTCTTCTCCCACTCTAGTAGCATCTCATACGCAATGAATCTGACAGTTTCTCAAGAGGTTGGCTGCAACTAAGAATGACAAATATGCCAACAAAGAGAAGCACCCCTCTTATGACAGATTCCTCTTTAACCAACTCAACCTAAGAAACACTGGAAAGCTACCAACAAATGTTACAGTGAAAAAATTTCAAGAGTATCAAGAGGTACCCTGTATTGCCAAGGAGGCACCTAAGAGTAATTTCACAAATGTTTATCTCTTTTTTTTGTTCACCTTTTCTATAGTGTGTTTTTGTATATGTGGGTTTCCAGAAGGATGTGTTGATACATATTTATTTTTCTGTGTGTGTGTGTTTTGTGTTTATGTGTGAGCTAAGGGATTTTAAGAGTGTATAGTTGAAAATTAATTAATTAATTAAAAAAGAAAAATTTAAAAGAAAAAAGAGTATGCAGTTGAACCTGAGGTGTAATTCTAAATTTATTTTTATTTGGTCAGAAACCTATTATTACTCTACATAAACTGGTTGATCCTTAAATTTCATGTGTACATCACGGTTTGAACTCAGCCTGTCATTTTTGTGAGAAAGAGGCTTTCTATGACGGTAATCAGTACCTTAGTCCTGAAAATATCTGCTTCAAGATTTATGTAAAGCTCTTTTTTATTACTCTAGTCCCAGTGAGGGTCAGCCTTTTGTGGTAGAATTTATTTCAAATTCCACTTCACTTTGAGGCACTATCATCTCACCAAATTTCTGATTCTCAAATCCCTCCATTGCCTCCCTACTTTCAAATCTGTGTTTTTCTTATCCATGAGATATGGACATGGTAAAGTAACTCTAGGCCTAAGTCAAAATCATAATGCGTTTCAGAATGGGTTTGGGTCACCAGTCCCACGTGGTAGAAGACTTTCCTGCAGGATTCGCTGTTACTAAGAATGACAAATATACAGACTGCAAGAATCATGCCACTCACAACTGTCCTCTCGTCCAGTGTGATCTAAAAAAATAGAAAATTCACTACATTTCTGACAGTGAGAACAGATGATGCCAAAGTTATCATCAGTTGTCAAGGATACTCCCAAGAGTAGACTTACAAATTTCAACCTAATTTTCTTTTTTTGTGGTCTTATTTGTGTGTGTTTTGAAAGAAATACATTTGTGTATAAACATACATAGGGTACTGCTAATAGTTTTTCAGAAAACAATTAAAATTAGCTATAAATTTTGGAAATGAATTCATAGTTTTATAATAGTAGTCATATTCTAAGAACTTTTAAAGATCTCTCTCTGCTTGAATTTCAGCATAAGCCTTGATTTTAATTCCTTTTCATGAAATTTCTAAAGTTCTCTCCTATATCTAGTCATGAATGTGTATACATGGGCTTGGTATTACACACACACACACACACACACACATATATATCTTTTAACATTTATTTATAACTCACATGGTATTGGGTACCTCCTCATGAGTGTCTGATGCCCATTCTTCTGTATTTAGTCTAAAGAATTGAAAAGTAAATAGTGATATACCTACGTTATGAGATCTTATCTTTTTGTGTCAACTAATTACATTCATTCTAAAAACTGATATATATATATATATAATATATACACACACACATATATATATGTCACTGTTTTTGAATTGGATTTTTAAAAATTAGAAATGAAGTTCTTTGTGGTGAAAATGAATGTATTAGGTTTGTGAAGGCTGTAATATATACAGATTTAAGAACCTATTGTCTTAGCACCAACTTGTAAGAGTCTTTTGAAGGGGCATTTATTTCAATCTCAACTCACTTACCATGTCTAGATTCCTCTCTCTTATGTCCCACTTTCCCCTCTTTATTTTCGCCAATCATAGTTATCTTCCTTGAGTATCAAATAGAATCAAGTGACTATGCATTTGGAGTGTAAAAGAGTTCTGCCATACTCCTCACTAGAAAGTTCCCAAATCTCAATTTCCTCCCTTTCTCTATGTGGATATGTGAGTATGAGTGTTTGTGTGTATATGTGTGTGTGTGTGTGTGCACGTGTTTATATACATATATTGCACCTATTTTCTATATATAATTAACATATATTATTTTGCACTTGTGTGTATTTATACATATACCTTATTGTTGTATTTATATCTTACATTTCACTGATAGCTCCTTCCCAGGAAGTTGACGTGAATTCATATACCGTGGTGCTAAAGAATATAAAATTCAAGTAGTTAGATACCAATGTGACTTCCTAGACTTCACTTTCAGTTCAATCTACTCTATAATTTGTATACTAATTGACATCAATTTACATGTAAGTTGGTTATTTGGAAACTTACATATCACTCTTCCAAGGAAATGAACGTTATTTGTGTAAAATGAGTATCATCAAATGACTCAAGATTCTTGTTCAGGTCTGGTGCTGTATTGTAGTGGGTTAAGTTACCACCTGCAGTGCCAGCATCTCATATGTGTGCCAGTTCGAGTCTCAACTGCTCCACTTCCAATCTAGCTCTCCACTAATGTGCCTGGGAAAGCAGCATAAACGGTGGACCAAGTCCATGATGGAAACCCAGATGAAGCTCCAGGTTCCTGGCTTTGGATCTGCCCAGCTCTGGCCCATTGTGGCCATTTGGAGAGTGAACTGTCTTTCCATCCCTCTCTCTCTCTCCACACTCTATCTTTCAAATAAATATAATAAATTGGGGCCAGCACTGTGGTGTTGTGGGCTAAACCTCTGCCTGTGGTGCTGGCATCCCATATGGGCACCAGTTCTTGTCCTTCTTGCTCCACATCTGATCCAGCTCTCTGCTATGGATTGGGAGAGCAGTAGAAGATGGCACAAGTGCTTTGGACCCTACATTCACATGGGACACCTGGAAGAAACTCTTAGCTCCTGGTTTCACATTGGCTCAGTTCAGGCCATTGCATCCATTTGGGGAATGGACCAGCAAATAGAAGACTTTTCTCGCTGTCTCCCCCTCTCTCTGTGTGTAACTCTACCTCTCAAATAAATAAATAAATAAATAATTCAATATTTTTGAAAAATAAATATAATAAGTAAATAAAATAAATCATTTTTAAAAAAGATTCCTGTTCAATTTTTAGTGTTGAAACTAACAGAGCTCTGGAGACTAAGGGACTCTTCCAGGGTTGTTAGCTCTACTTTTGGTCCATCCTGCCCCCCAAAATTTCTCTGCTCCCTGTCCACTGCTGCCTTCTTCTGGCACCAAAAAGGATTCTCTCCTCCTTCTGCCAATCCAGTAAGGTTTTTTTTTCCAGTATGATGGGTTTTTTTTAAGATTAATTTATTTGAAAGTCAGAGATACATACAGAGAGAAGGAGAAGCAGAGAGAGAGAGAAAGAGAGAGAAAGCCTTCCATCCACTGGTTCGCTCCCCAGATTGCTGCAATAGTTGAGCTAGGCCAACCCAAAGCCAGGAGCCAGGAGATTCTTCGGCATCTCTCAATGGATGCAGGGGCCCAAGGACTCGGGCCATCTTCTACTGCTTCCCCATTCCCCAGGTCATCAGCAGAGAGCTGGATTGGAAGTGGAGCAATCAGGACTCAAACTGGTGCCCATATGGGGATACCGGCATTGCAGGAGGTGGCTTTATTTGCTATGCCACAGCGCCAGCCTTGCAGTAGTCTTTTTTTTTTTTTTTTTTGGACAGGAAGAGTGGACAGTGAGAGAGAGAGACAGAGAGAAAGGTCTTCCTTTGCCGTTGGTTCACCCTCCAATGCCCGCCGTGGCCGGCACGCTGCAGCTGGCGCACCACGCGCTGATCCGAAGGCAGGAGCCAGGTACTTATCTGGTCTCCCATGGGGTGCAGGACCCAAGCACTTGGGCCATCCTCCACTGCATTCCCTGGCCACAGCAGAGAGCTGGCCTGGAAGAGGGGCAACCAGGACAGAATCCGGCACCCTGACTGGGACTAGAACACGGTGTGCCGGCAGAGGATTAGCCTAGTGAGCCACGGCACCGGCTTGCTGTATAGTATTCTATAGAGTACATGTCCCATAATTTCTTTATCCAGTCTACTGTTGATGGGCATTTGGGTTGATTCCAGGTCTTGGCTATTGTGAAATGAGCTGCAGTAAACATTAAGGTGCAGACTGCTTTTTTGTTTGCCAATTTAATTTCCTTTGGGTTAATTCCGAGGAGTGGGATGGCTGGGTTGAATGGTAGGGTTATATTCAGGTTTCTGAGGAATCTCCACACTGACTTCCATAGTGGCTTGACCAGTTTGCATTCCCACCAACAGTGGGTTAGTGTCCCTTTTTCCCCACATCCTCGCCAGCATCTGTTGTTGGTAGATTTCTGAATGTGAGCCATTCTAACCGGGGTGAGGTGAAACCTCATTGTGGTTTTGATTTGCATTTCCCTGATTGCTAGTGATCTTGAACATTTTTTCATGTGCCTGTTGGCCATTTGGATTACATCTTTTGAAAAATGTCTCTTGAGGTCCTTGGCCCATCTCTTAAGTGGGTTGTGTGTTTTGATGTTGTAGAGTTTCTTGATTTCTTTGTAGATTCTGGTTATCAACCCTTTATCTGTTGCATCGTTTGCAAATATATTTTCCCATTCTGTTGGTTGCCTCTTCACTCTCCTGACTGTTTCTTTTGAAGTACAGAAACTTCTCAATTTGATGCAATCCCAAATGTTAATTTTGGCTTTGACTGCCTGTGCTTCTGATATGATTCTTTATTTAGGGGACCCAAAGAGAGACTACTAAGAGACTATTGGAACTCGTAGAAAAGTTTGGCAAAGTAGCAGGATATAAAATCAATGCACAAAAATTAACAGCCTTTGTATACACAGGCAATGCCACGGCTGAGGAAGAACTTCTAAGATCAATCCCATTCACAATAGCTACAAAAACAATCAAATACCTTGGAATAAACTTAACCAAGGATGTTAAGGATCTCTACAATGAAAATTACAAAACTTTAAGGAAAGAAATAGAAGAGGATACCAAAAACTGGAAAAATCTTCCATGCTCATGGATTGGAAGAACCAATATCATCAAAATGTCCATTCTCCCAAAAGCAATTTATACATTCAATGCAATACCAATCAAGATACCAAAGACCTTCTTTTCAGATCTGGAAAAAATGATGCTGAAATTCATATGGAGACACAGGAGAACTCGAATAGCTAAAGCAATCTTGTACAACAAAAACAAAGCTGGAGGCATCACAATATCAGATTTCAGGACATACTACAGGGCAGTTGTTATCAAAACAGCATGGTACTGGTACAGAAACAGATAGATAGACCAATGGAACAGAATAGAAACACCAGAAATGAATCCAAACATCAATGGCCAACTTATATTTGATCAAGGATCCAAAACCAATCCCTGGAGTAAGGACAATCTATTCAATAAATGGTGCTGGGAAAATTGGATTTCCACGTGCAGAGTCATGAAGCAAGACCCCTACCTTTTACCTTACACAAAAATTCACTCAACATGGATTAAAGACTTAAATCTATGACCCTACACCATCAAATTATTAGAAAGCATTGGAAAACCCCTGCAAGATATAAGTACTGGCAAAGACTTCTTGGAAAATACATATACATCTTTAAGTGTTTATTTTATAACTCACGTTTCATTGGTGGCTCCATCAGAGGCAACTGGCATCAACTCATTAGAGGGTGGCCTAAAGAAACAACACATAATTCTAAATTATTTTGAGGGTCACATAGTTAAAACTATGGTACTACCCATGAACTGATTGACATTTAAATGCACTTGTACAAATCACTGATCACCAAAGGGGAAACTTGTTGAAATGAAATGGACACTATGAGAAACAGTGACTTGATCAGCTCTTGTCCTAACGGTTGATGTACCAGCCTTATGTGGTGGCAGAGTTTGGAAGATGAGGCACAAATCCAGGTTCCATTAGCCCTGGTCACTTCTGCTGAGGGCACCAGAGTTTCCTGACGACTACTTCCTCCTCTTTCTCCAAATGGAAATCTCTCCTTCTTCAGCCCACTCTAGCAGAGAGCCACAAATGGCAAAACTGAGTTTCCTAAAGGACTGTTTGTCCCAAACTAAATAAAAGTTACAAAGATACTGACTGGAAGAGGCATGCCTTTCATGACTTCTTTTGTTACCAAATTTGACCTAAGAAAAACAAAAAGTTCTCTACAGGTATGGAAATGTTCTCAAGGACCTTCCTCACAGTAAATTTCACAAGACTCAACTGTTTTCTTTCATTGTATTATGTTTCTACATGTGTGGTGTTGATAGAAATATCTATGTGTGTATGAGAGCAATTAAAAATATTCATGGTGGCTGGCGCCATGGTGCAGTAGGTTAATCCTTTGCCTGTGGTGGATCCCATGTGGGGGCTGGTTTGAGTCCCAGCTGCTCCTTTTCCAATCTAGCTCCCTTGCTATGGCCTGGAAAAGCAGTAGAAGTTGGCTCAAGTACTTGAGCACTTGCAACCCCATGGGAGACTGCGAAGAAGCACCTGGTTCCTGGCTTTGTATCAGCGCAGCTTTGTCCATTGCAACCATTTGGGGAGTGAACTAACGGAAGGAAGACCTTTCTCTCTCTTTGTCTCTCCCTGTCACTGTCTGTAACTCTACCACTCATTGCCATCTCACTGGTCCCAGTGATCAATTTCTGTTCACAATTGATCATAATGATAGGACTAAGAGCCAAAGGGATCACATAAACAAGACTAGTGTCTGCAAATACTAACTGATAGAATCAAAAAGGGAGAGAACGATCCAACATGGGAAGTGAGATACACAGCAGACCCATAGAATGGCAGATGTCCTAAACAGCACTCTGGCCTCAGAATCAGCCCTTAGGACATGCGGATCTGGCTGAAAAGCCCATGAGATTATTTCAGGGATGGAAAGCCAAGACACTCTGGGGAAAAAAAAAAAACCTAAATGAAAGATCTCCACGAGTGAGATCCCAGTGGAAAGAACGGGTCATCAAAGAAGGAGGTACCTTTCTCTGAAGGGAGGAGAGAACTTCCACTTTGACTACGACCTTGTCTAAATATGATCAGAGTCAGTGAACTCAGGGGGCTTCCATAGCCTTGACAGCTCATGACAAGAGCCTAGGGTGATTACTGATGCCATAAACAAGAGTGTCAATTTGTTAAGTCAACAACAGGAGTCACTGTGCACTTACTCCTCATCTAGGATCTTTGCCCTTAGTGTGCTGTACATGGAGATTTAATGCTATAACTAGTACTCAAACAGTATTTTCACTCTATGTTTCTGTGTGGGAGCAAACTGTTGAAATCTTTACTTAATGTATACTAAACTGATCTTCTGTATATAAAGAGAATTGAAAATGAATCTTGATGTGAATGGAAGGGGAGAGGGAGTAGGAAAGGGGAGGGTTGCGGGTGGGAGGGAAGTTATAGGGGGGAAGCCATTATAATCCATAAGCTGTACTTTGGAAATTTATATTCATTAAATAAAAGTTAAAAAATATAAAATCTTTAAAAAGTCCATGAAAATGGAATTGAGTGTTAAGCTTATTATAATGCAAACATTTTTAAATACAGGCATAGTTATTTCATAACTTATATTTCCATTCATTTTGGTTTTAAAAAAGATTTAGTTGAAAGGCAGAGTGATGGAGAGAGTGGAAGAGAGTGAGCAAGATATATATATATATATATATATAGAGAGAGAGAGAGAGAGAGAGAGAGAGAGAGATAGCTGGCCTTTACTTATTCACTCCCTAAATGGCTTCAATGACTGTGGCTGGACCAGGCCAATGTCAGGAGGCAGAAACTCTATGTCAGTTTCCCTTGCAGGTAACAGGGCCCAACACTGGATCATCAGCCACGTCCTTCCCAGATACATTAACAGGAAGTTGGATTGGAAGGGGTACAGCCAAGACTGGAACAAGCATTGTAATCTGTGATGCCTTAGCTGCAAGTAATATCAACCTGCTGCACTACAATGTGGGCTGCTCCATGAGTTTTTTGATGATTATTCATCCACCCACCTAAACACATACACACATACCACATATGCATATACAGATAAATATATGTAATCTGACATAAATGCAACCCTTATAGATTAGGGATTAAAAGAGTAGTTAAAATTTCATTCTGGATATATTTCTGTTTTAATAGTCCTGAGATATTCATTATTGTCATATGAAGCTTCATTTTTAATTTTCAAAAATACCTACCAAGTTCAAATTAGTGAAATGCACATGTGTATTTAAATATCAGTTCACAAGCAGTAGCTTAATTTTTTTTTTAAAGGCAGGAGTGGACAGTGAGAGAGAGAGAGACAGAGAGAAAGGTCTTCTTTTGCCGTTGGTTCACCCTCCAATGGCTGCCGCAGCCGGCGCGCTGCAACCAGCGCACTGCGCCGATCCGATGGCAGGAGCCAGGTGCTTCTCCTGGTCTCCCTTGGGGTGCAGGGCCCAAGCACTTGGGCCATCTTCCACTGCACTCCCGGGCCACAGCAGAGAGCTGGCCTGGAAGAGGGGCAACCGGGACAGAATCCGGTGCCCCGACCGGGACTAGAACCCAGGGTGCCGGCGCCGCAAGGCGGAGGATTAGCCTAGTGAGCTGCGGCGCCGGCTGCAGTAGCTTAATTTTAAGGATTGTATATACTTACCTGTGTCTTGGGGAATTCATGTATACATACACACATATTGAATTTGTTTTTCACTCACTTGTCCCTGATGGATTCCACATCAGTAATGGATTTTGAGTCTTCTGAGTGTGAGCTAAGGGAATATAAAGATATATATAGTCAGAAATTACACAGGATTTTATCTTACTATTTTTGCTCAAATGACAATAGTTACTTTGAATGTGAACTGGTTAATCTTCAGATGGTCATGTTATATCACTGTTTGAGCTTGGTATGTATTTTTATTAGAAATGAATCTTTATGGGGTGTGGCTGGGACTTTGGGCAGTCACTCTGGGAGGCTCCACATGCTCAGGGATCCCAGGTTCCCTGGTGAGGGACATTGCTGGGGAATCTGAGCTTACACTGAGGACTGAACAGATCCTTGGTGTGTTCCTAGTGGCAGCATGGACAAATATTATACCCACTGGGGCTAGCGTCCAGGCACCAGTCTCATTTGAGAAGAGGTGAGCTGAGGCTATGTCAACAGAGCAGAAAAAATTTCCCCTCAGATTAAAAAAAAAAAGATTTTCCATGCCCAACCTGTGTGTCACTTTAGACACTGCCTTCACCCTGGAGTACTGAACAGAGCTCGCTGACCACAGCCACCATACACCTCTAGGTATTCACTGAAAAAATAGACACTCTGCTAATACAGAGGCATAATCCAAAGATAAAAGCCACCACAGCAAAAAGACAAAGAAACCAATGAGTATCTCCAGAAATGCTGAATAATAAATGCACCAATTCAAGAAACAAGAATAAGGAAAAAGCATGATGCCTTCCAAAAGAATACAACACTTCAATACTAGAATATGAAGGTGAAGAGATTGAAGAAATGCCAGAACTGGAATTCAAAAAATTTATTGTATGATTACTCAGAAGTAATCAGAAGCAAATGCACAAACTAATGAAATCCATACATGAAATGAATGAAAATTTCTCCCATGAAATTGAGATCTTGAAGAGAAATCAAAATGAAATCTTGGAAATGAAGAATTCAATAGAACAAACAAAAAAATGCAGTGGAAAGCCTTAACAAGAGCATATATGAACTAGAAGAAAGAATACCCAACTTAGAAGACAAATTGAAGGAAATTATACAGTCAGACCAAAAAGAACAAGAACAAATTGGAAAACTAAAAAGCACTGTTGGAAATCTACAAGATACTATCAAGTGATCAAGCATATGGGCCCTAGGAGTTCCTGAAGGCATGAAAAGAGAAAGTATTAGAAAGCCTTTTTCATTTAATAATAGAAAACTTCCCATTTTGGAGAAAGAAAGGGACAATGAAGTAAAGGAAGCACATAGAACTCCTAATACACATGACCAGAGAAGATCCTCCCCATGACAACACATTTTAATCAAGCTCTCTACAGAAAACCATAAAGGGAAGATTCTAAAATGTGCATGAGGGAAATGCCAGATTACTTTCAGAGTATTTCAAATTAGACTCACAATAGACTTTTCATCACAAACATTACAGGCTAGGAGAGAATGGTGAAATACATTCCATCTTGAGAAAAAAAAAAAACTGTCAACCCAGAGCACTGTACCTGGAAAAGCTATAATTTCTGAATAAAGGTGAAATAAAGACCTTCCATAACAAACAGAAATTCAAAGAATTTGTCATCACCCATCCAGCCTCGCAAAAGATGCTGAAGGATGTGCACACACAGAAACACAGAAAAATGGTCATCCCTACCAAAGAGAAGATAAAGGCAGAAAACCCCCCAGTAAAAACACAAAGGAATCCAAAGTAAATAAAAATAGGAATATTAAAGGAAAAATTGCAGGCCAAAGTCATTACTTATCAATAGTCACCTTGAATGTAAATGGCCTCAACTCTCAAGTTAAAGGACAGAGACTGAATGGGTTAAAAAACAAAACCCATGTATGTGCTGTCTACAAGAAACACATCTCACCAACAAAGATGCATGCAGACTAAAAGTGAAAGGAGAGAAAAAGATATTTCATGCTCCTTTTGATGATTATTCATGCACACACCTATACACATACACACAACACATATACATACACAGGTAAAAACATGTCATCTGACGTAAATGCAACCCTTATAGGCTAGGGATTAAAAGAATAGTTATTTCACTCTGGATATACTTCTGTTTTAATAGTCCTGAGATATTCATATGAAGCTTCATTTTTAATTTTCAAAAAATGCCTTCCAAGTTCAAGTTAGTGACATGCACATGTGTATTTAAATATCAATCAGTTCATAGTTAGTAGCATAATTTTAAGGATTGCACATAATTACCTGTGTCTTTTGGGGGATCCATATATACATATACACACATTGAATGGGTTTTTCACTCACATGTCATTGATGTATTCCACATAAGTAATGGGTATTGTTTCATTTGGGTTTGACCTAAGTGAATATAAAGATATATAGTCAGAAATCACACAGGATTTTATCTTATTACTTTTGTTCAAATGACTACAATTACTCTGGATGTGAACTGGTTGATCTTCAGGTGGTCATGTTATATCACTGTTTGAACTTGGTAGGTATTTTTTATTAGATATGTAACTTTATGGAGGCTGATGTAGTGGCATAGGTTAAGCTGTAACCTAGGATGTTTGCATCCCATTGGGCACTGCTCTGCTCCCCTGCTGCTCCACTTCTGATCAAGCTCCCTTGATGTGTGCCTGGGAAAGTGGCAGAAGATGACCCAAGTTTTTGGGCCCATGCATCCACATGGGAGACCCGGAAGAATGTCCTGGATTCCTGGCTTTGGTCCAGCCTCATACCAGCTATTGTGCCAATTAGGAAGACTAACAGCAGGTACCAGGAGAGTGCAGGACTTCTGCAATCAGCTGTGTGTGGGCCTGCCACAGGACTGAAGATGGGAGCTATGCTCCCTTGCAGCCCTCTCCTCCCATCAAGCCCTCTCTTCCCCATCTGTGTGAATTCTGCTTTTGGAACTGAGGGTGGGTTCTACAAGTGCCCCACATTCTGTCGGGTGGCCAGCTAAAGCTAATTCCTCCAACCGAAGAGTACATCCTGATGGTGTCAGAAGAAATATTCATCCTGATTCATGTGCTACCACTTCCATTACAGGAATGGCCTAACAGTGGAGACCTCGCCCCTCACTACTGTGTGTTCTGCTCAGGTCTAGAGTATCTTCACTCTGGCATGACCCCTGGAAATTGTAAGTTACTCTGATTCCAACACTGTAGGCATTGATTACAGTCAAAGAAATGATAACATCATGCTACAGTGCCCAAGTGAAACCAAAGCCAACATTGCCTGCCAAATTGACATACCATGTCAAATCTTGAAAAGTAGATTATCATGAAGGCTAATCAATAAGAGAACGTAGAGACATCTTATCTACCAGATATGCAATTCTCAACGTAGGTTCACAAGTAATATGAAAAAATAAGGTGCCATGATGCCTGAAAAGGAACAGAATACCATTCTTGTATCAGATCTCAAATAAAAAGTGATTGATAAAATGACTGAAGAATTCAGAAGAGGGATTATATGGATTATCAAAGAGATACAAGTGAACACAGACAAATAGTTAAATAAAATCAGAAAATAATGCATGATATCAATGAGACATTCAGGAAGGAGTAAGACATCTTGAAGAAGAACCAAACAAATCTTGGAAACAAACTCAACAGATCAAGCGAAAAATAAAGTTGAAAACCTCAACAACAGACTTGATCAAATGGAAGAAAGAACATCTGAATTTGAATAAAAATCATTTGGAATATCACCTCAGCCAGATCAAAGAAAAGAAAAATGTAGAGAAAGAAAATGAAGACAGCCTTGAGACATTTGCGAAACCATCAAACAAATAAATATCCAAATTCTGGGAATTCCAGAGAGAGGAGAGAGGATTAATGGACTAGAAAATCTACTCATTGAGATAATGGCTGAAAACTTTCCAGGTTCCTTTTTTTTTTTAATTTATTTGACAGATAGAGTTAGACAGTGAGAGAGAGAGAGAGAGAGAGAGATCTTCCTTCTGTTAGTTCACCCCTCAAATGGCCACTACAGCCAGAGCTGTGCCAATCTGAAGGCAGGAGCCAGGTGCTTCCTCCTGGTCTCCCATGTGGGTGCAGGGGCCTAAGTGCTTGGGCCATCCTCCACTGCCTTTCCGGGCCACAGCAGAGAGCTGGACCAAAAGAGGAGCAACTGGGACTAGAACCTGGCACCCATACAGGATGCAGGCACCGCAGGAGAAGGATCAACACAGTGAGCCATGTCGCTGGCCCCTCCAGGTTCCTTTTTTAATTTGGAGAAAGATAATGAACATCCAAGAATAGAAGGCCCACAGAACCTCAAATAAAATAACCAGAAATGATCTTCACCATGACATACGACTGTCAAACTCTCAAAAGTACAACACAAGGCTGGCGCCACAGCTCAATATGCTAATCCTCCACCTGCGGCACTGGCACCCCGGGTTCTAGTCCCAGTCAGGAGCGGGATTCTGTCCCGTCCAGTCCTGCTCTCTGCTGTGGCCTGGGAGTGCAATAGAGGATGTCCCAAAATGTTGGGCCCTGCACCTTCTTGGGAGACCAGGAGAAGCACCTTGCTCCTGGCTTCAGATCAGCGTGGTACGCCGGCCGCAACGGCCATTGGGGGGTGAACCAAAGGAAAAGGAAGACCTTTCTCTCTGTCTCTCTCTCTCTCTCACTGTCCACTCTACCTGTCAAAAAAAAAAGTACAACACAAGAAATATTAATATCTGCAAGAGAAAATTATCAAGTGACCTTTGATAGAAACCCCATTAGAATAGTAACCAAGGTTTCAATAGAAACAGTACAGGTAGGAGAAAATAGAATAATATATTCAAAATTCTGAAAAAATGTCTTTCAGAATACTTTAACTAGGTTAGCTATATTTCATAAATGAAGGGAAAGATATTCTAAGACAAACAAATTGAAGAAAGTTATCTATATCAGATCAGCTTTACAAACAATGCTTTAAAAAGTTCTATAGATATAAACAAAGGAATATAACTATCTTTGTGAAAATACACTTTTGCATTAAAATTGCACGTTGTATATTTGTTATGAGTATCTGTTCTGTAGAATAAAATGACTCAAGATTCATGTTCAGTTTTTCTGCAAAGTGACAGCCTCCTACCTATCAGTTTACTTCACCTGTGCCTGCAACAGCCAGAACTAGCCTGTGCCAAAGCTTGGAACCAGGAACTCAATCTGGTCTTCCAGATCCTTGGCAAGGATCCAACTACCTGACTTCCTTCTAGCATGCACATTAGTAGGAAGCTGGCATCAAGGATGGGGCCAGCACTAAAACACGGACACTCTGACATGGGAAGTTGGATCTCAAATGACATAGTACCCACTGTGTCAAATGCCCAACTCTCCAAGACCCCTTTTTTCTCCATTTTATTTGAAGGCAAAAAGAGAGACTGAGAAACAAACAGAAGGATCTTCTCTTGGTTGGTTCACTCTCCAGATGCCTGCAACACACACAAGAGGTGCCAGGCTGAAGCCAGTAACTTGAACTCAGTCTAGGTCTCCACTTGGACAACAAGAAAGAAGCACTTCAGCCATTACTTGCTACCTCCAAGGGTGTGTATTAGCAGGAAGCTGAAGTGAAAGTGAGGAGCCAGGAGGCAAACTAGGCACTCTGTTAAGGGATGTGAGTGTCCCAAGTGGTGACAATCAATCACTGCACTGAAATCTGATCCTTTCCTGTGAAATTTTTGAAGTCTGCATGTGTTAGTGTCTAACATATTTTATTAACAGGCTCCACATAGTTTATTGATGTCAGTTCATTCAGGTGTAAGCTAGGGATTATAAAATATATAGTCAGGGGCCAGCATTGTGGCACAGTGGGTAAAGCCAACACCTCTGACGCTGGCATGCCATATGGATGCTAATTTGTGTCCTAAGTGCTTGCTAATGGCCTGGGAAAAGTGGCAGAAGATGCTGGTTTCCTCCCCAAATGGACAAAATAGCTGGGGCTAGTAAGGCTGAAACCAAGAGCCAGTAACTCCATGTTGGTCTCCCACATGGGTGCCCGGGGCATTAGTAGGAAGCTGGATAGGAAGTGGAGCAGCTGGGACTTGAATTGCCACTCCGATATGGGATGCGACATTACAAGTGGCAGCATATCCTGCTGCCCCAAACACTGTTCCTCTTCATTAAACTTTTTTTTTCCTCAAACTTTTTGAAGTATATTTTTCCATTAATTTATAACTTACATTTCAATGATGGTTTTTCATAGATCTCTGATGTCAATTCATTCAAGGGTGAGTAAAGGATTAAAGAATAGAATGTAGGCATAAATCATGTGATTATGCCTTACTTTTGGTCAGGTGATCACATTATTCTAAAACTTGATGCTTTAATATGCATCTCTATGTTACTCATTTGAAACTGGCTTTTTTACAGAAAGCTTTTATTTAATAAATATACATTTTGTAAGTACAACTTTTGGATTATAGCTGCTCTTCCCCCCATAGCTGCATGAATCTGGCTTTTAAAAATTAGGGATGAGTTTATATGGTGGTAATGATTTCCTTAGGCTGGTCCAGTTTTATGTTCTGAATATCTTAATATTGATGTGTAAAAGGCTTTTGTGGTAGAATTTATTTCAAATTCAACTTCACTTTATGATTATACATCACTCTTACTTCATCAAATGCTGTGCATCCTAAGTACACCTATTACCTCCTTACTTTCATTCCAAATGGCCGTCATTCCTGCCCCTCAGAGAAGGTTAAGTAAATTTATGTGTGAGTGGCTCTATTAGTGTGATGGTGAGTTTGTTTTCAGGCACCAACCTCATTTGGTGGCAGAGACCTGGAGGATGAGGAACACACCCAGGTTCCATTAGCTCCATTCTTCTCTGCTACAGGCTCCTCTTCTTTCTATCCACTGGCACCTCTTCCTGGCTCCAAATAAGACTCTTTCTTTTCATCCGCCAGTACAATAAAGTCTAACCACAGGCGTTTTTGAAAGTTTCCTTACAACTTTGTCTAGGGGTTACTCAATGTGAATATTACCAGGAGGAAGAAGTATTCCTCTTATGACATGCTCGTCTGTTATCCAAATCTGTGCAAAACATGGGAAAAGTATCTACATATGCCATGGTGAGAACATTAAAAGTGTCAATGACTCTCTTGCCATGCTCCACTCAAGAAGTTTGCCTCACTTCTCTCTTCTCCTTCTTCTGGTATATTTGCTTTTGTGAGTGTCCATATATGTATCCTCTATATATGTGTACATATCATTAGCATATATCTATATTTATCTGGCAATGCATATTTGTCCATATATCATAGTTGATTTATTTATGCCATACTATCTCTGGGAGCTAGATCCCAGGCACCAGATGTAAAATCATACTGGCTATTGAAAATTTAAATACAAACACAAAATGTAACTCAAAATTACTTTTTGAGCAAACAGTTAAAAATTATGCTACAACCTATGAACTATTGATATGTAAATGCACTTGTGTATATCATTCACTTGAACTTGTTGACCCTTTTTAATGAAAATGAGACTTTATATGTTGGTAATGAATGCCACAGGTCTGTGAAAATAGAAATGTTTCCATAATGAAGTAACTTATTTGAACCCCAAGGTATATAAGCCTTCTAAAGTCGCATTTATTTCAGATTTTCTGTAGGTTACAGGAAACAACCCTCTTACCCTGTCTAATGTCCTGATTCTCAAGTTCTTTCATCATCTCCTTATTTCACCCATCATTGTCTTCTGTCCATGAGATAGGGTTGAATGGCTGCAGCCTTGAGCAGGGTTTGGGGAGGCAGCCTCACATGGCAGAGCATGGACAGTGAGGCACACATCCAGGTTCCAGTAGATCAGATCATTTCTAGGAGGGCCCCACTGCTGCTTTCTGCTATTTTCTCATCTTCGCTCCAAATAGGATTCTTTTCTTCACTGGACTATTCAAGTGGAGACACTTTACATTTTCTTAGGTTGACTGTCTACTACTAATTAAGAGTGAGAAACCTACTGACTGGAAGAGGTATGCTTTCCATAACCTGTGTATCTTATGTATAATTTGATCTCAGGAAAATAAAAAGTTCTCCACAGATCCACAGTGAGAAGATTTAGAAAGTATCAGGACAACCTGTATTCCTAAGGATATTCCTGAGAGTAAATTCTACTAACCCCAGCCTTATTCCTTCACTGTACTATGCTTCAGCAGGTGATGACAGAAATATCTATGTGTGATTATATATATATATATATTTGTGTATATGTATATCTATTGAAGTTTATTTGAACTTCAGGGGCTGTATCTTGGTGTAGCAGGTTAAAACCCTGGTCTGCAGTGCTGGACATCCCACATAGGTGCTGGGTGAAGTCTTGGCTGCTCCACTTCCAATCCAGCTCTCTGCTGGTGCACCTTAAGAAGGCAGCAGAGAACCCCTGAACTCATGTGGGATACCTGGAGGAAGCTTCTGGCACCTTAGTTCAGACTGGCCCAGTTCCAGTCACTGCAGCCATTTGGAAAGTTGGACCAGTGGAAAAAGACTTCTCTCTCTCTCTGTCTCCACCTCTTTGTAACTCTGTCTTTCAAATGAATGAAAATAAATCTTTAAAAAAATTTGAACTTACCATTCATTAGGGTCTTCCACAGTGACAGAGTCCAGTTTGCCCTGATTTGGGCTAAGAGATTATAAAGCAAAAGAACACAGTCAGAAAGGATGCTGATTTCAAGCTAAGTTTTTAGATGAAATCAGTACAGTTATTCTAGGTACAAATGGATTTTTACTCATACGTTTGAAGGTCCTTCCAAAAGTTTGTGGAAATGAAATGAAAAGGTAAGTTACTTTAGTGCAAAATAATATATTTTTATTTATTAATGATGTTGATTCATTCATGTGTGACCTAGTAGATTATAAACTTACTTTTTGGGCCAGAGAGTTATAGGTACTGAAAAACTAGGTGGTCTTTAGTCACTACTTAAACCCAGTGTTGATGTTATTAAGAACAAGACTTCATATTTCAGGTATAAAACTCTTAGTTATATGTACTTAGACTTGCTTTAGATATAACTAAAACTACTATTAACTTAGTCCCAGTGAGTGACAGCCCATTGTGGTCGCATTTACTTCAACTTAACTTTAATTTGTAGGGACACATCACTCTCACCTCACCTAAATTCTGGGTACTCAAGTCTCACCTTCACCTCCTTACTTTCACCCATGTTTGTGGTTCTTGTCCATGAGATATGGTCAGGTAGCTGCAGATCTGAGTCAGAGGATCATTCATCCAATAGTGGGTCTGGCATGGGTTATGGGTATGGTGAGGATTTGGGACATTTCTAGGGTTTATCAGTTCTGTGCTAAGGACTCTTCTTCTCCGTGCTCAATTTTACCTTTTCCTTATTGAAATTGGATTTCTCCTCAATGGCTTTATGTTATAGAATGAATATTGTCCCCTAAATTTGATTGTTTGTATCCTAAGCCTTGTAACTCACAACGTGAGCTGATGTGCTAATAGGCTCACTGGAAACTAAGCAGCTAAGACGAGGTTCTATTGGCATAGAGTGAGCTCCTAATCCAATATGACTGGTGTCCTTATAAAAAGAAAAAAATGTGAATTCAGGCACACATAGAAAGCCTGCCATATACAGATGTGAGCAGAGACCTGGGTAAGGAATCTAAGTACCAAAGAATACCATAGATGGCCAGCAACCAGCAATAGCTAGGAGAGAGGCATAGAACAGATTCATTGTTACTGACCTCAAAAGAAGGCAACCCGCACAAATTCATTTTCTAGTTTTAACCCCTAGATCTGTTACATAATAAATTCGTTTAAGACACTCAGTTTGTCATATGGTGTTACAGTAGCTCTAGCAAATGAATAGTCTACTAGAGTTGCAAGCACAAGTGACCTGATAGTTTTCCAAGAATGTTGGCTACTAGTCATCAAGATGGGAGGAAGTCTGTTTCTTCTGACCTGTTCCTCTTTTATAGAACTTGATGTCAAAAAGAAAAAATGTTACATACAAAAGCTGGCACTGCCAATACTTTAGAAAGAGTTTTGAAGGAAATTGACATTTAATATGTGTTTAGACATATATGTATATATCTGTATACAAGTAGTATCTGACCTTTCATTTTTTACTCCACCAAAAGTGGATACTGCTTCATTTAGAGCAGGGCTAAGGATTAAATTGCACATAATCAAACACCACATGAATTCATGAACTTCATTTTTTATTCAAATTAGCTATAATTGACCAACAACTTTAATTTGGTTAAACCTAAAAAATTCACAATTATTTAATTGGAAACAGTTATCTCTTTTTTGTGCAAAGAAAAGAGTTTTATATGGTGGAAACTAAATTCTTAGGCCTATAAAATAAACCTTAATACATTAAGACTTTAAAAATTTTATTAACTGTAATAATTTCATTATTTATGGGTATAGTAATATTAAAACAAATGTATATAGCATACACTGACCAAATCAGGATAATTAGCATTTTCATCTCATTATTCTTCCGTTATATTTGGAGATGTTGAGATTCTCTCTTCCAGTTCTTTGTAAAATATGTAATAGGCTATTGTAAACTATTGTCACCCCACTGTGCTGTGGAACTCTAGGACTTTCTCCTTCTAACTTTCTTTTGATACCCGTTGTGCAGCCACTCTCTGTAACTGCCTCCTAGACCTCTTCAAGTTCTAAGTACCTATACCTCTTGTCCCATCTGATTTCCTGCTTTATCAGCCTCCCTCTCACCATCTCCTTGATTAAACCCATCATGGTTGCCTTTCCTGCTCCATAGATAGGGTTGACTCACTGCAGGCTAGAAGCAAGAGTTCCACCCAGTGTGATGGTGGGTTTTGGGCTGAGTGGATTAGCCTCACGTGGTGGCAGTGCCCTGGAGCATGAGGGATTAATCCTGGGAAGATTAGCTCCTTTCTTTGCACTGAGGCCTCCTGTGCTCCCTGCCTACATCTACCAAGTGTTTGCTTCCAAAATGGGTTCTCTTCTCCCTTGTGTCACTGTGTATCTCACACAGGTATTTTGATAGTTGCCTGGGTTCTGAATTGTGATATCTAAAGTTCAGAATCACACCATGAGTACATATTGTTTGACCTGGTCAACTCTTTTATCTAGGTAGAAAACACAAACAGGTTACATACAGACTCTGACAGGCTGTAAATTAACTGTGTGTTGTGTGTTGTCATAACAACTCCAAAATGGTTTCCCATGCAGATAACAGAAAACAAACTCACCTATTATTGACATTCTGGCTAGGGACCACCAAAATGTCTGTCAATGGATTATCATCCCTGTGAAAAGAAAAAATATCACAAAGATTACTATCAGATGATTTGGGAGAAATGATGTTCTTTCCTGACAGGAGTTTCAGGGAACAAAGAATAAGTCATACATGCGAAAGCCTAGGGACACATGATGGGAACGAAAGCTACAGTTTAGGATCATGGCAGTGAGACCTGTAAGCCTGCCTCCAAATATGCTTGTGTGTGTATGTGAGGGTGTGTGTGTCCATATGTGCTTGTGTATGTGTGTGTGTGTCCTTGTGAATGTAATTATTTACTAGAAATAGGAGAAAGCAAGTGGAAGCACCAATGTGATGATGAAGCATTCTTCCTTATGTTCTATTCTCTGTCTTGTTCTGGTCAATGTCATATAAATTTGGGAAATGAGAGGGATATGACACTGTAGGGATAGGGAAATCCATATGGATATTAAGTTCACATAAGGTTACAAATAAAGTGGTGGGGGAAATGCTGGAACAATTACAGTTTGAATTTCAAAAATTAGTCCCTGGTGGCTATTTGGTTAGCCTGAAACCAGTAACATAGGTCAACATCTACCTAAACTATAAGATTTTATAAACTGAAAACAGAGCATGAGATCAGAATTGTCGCTCCCCCTCTTCGCGGAGGAACGACACAGGACCCTGCGCTGTTCTTTCGTCTGCTCGGCCCTCCCCGGGTTTGCTGCTGGTTCTTCCCGGGTTGGCTACTATCCCTTCCACCTCCGTGGAAGGGCAGTTCCCCCTGGCCACATTCCCCACTTCCGCAGGGGAGCGGCACACCGCCGGCCGGCTTTCTCGGGGGCTGCACGGGTTCCCTTAGATGTTCCCCATAGATGTTCCTGGTACATGCCGTCTCTCTCCTCCTTTATAGTCCTCCTCCGCCAATCCCAACTCGGCTGCCCACACGCCGAGTACGCTGCTCTCCAATCAGGAGCAAGTCCTACAGTTTATTGGTTGAACTGGAGGCAGCTGTGCGGAAGCTGTTTACTTCTCTCCCAGCGCCATATTGTGGGAGAGCAGATGCATAGAATAAGTCTTAATTCCAGTAACTCAGTCTAGTCCAGTTTGCTCCCCACAAGAATGATTATTTTTATTGCACTTTTTTTTCTAGTACACCTTATTTTTTAGAGGAAATTTGTTTGTGGAAAAATTAAAGTACTAAAAGTTCTTATATACGATTTTACTCATTCCATCTCAGACAGTTTCTTCTATTCCTAACACTTTATGTATTCTTATGATTCACTTGCTACAACTAATATTAATCTATTAACTAAAACCCATACTTGTGGTTCATTCATTGTTTTCCACAGTTCAATGGATTTTGCTAAATGCATCATGTCATTGTCCATCATTACAGCCTCATACAGAATAAATCTCCCTGCCCTAAAGAGTCCCTGACTCCTACCGATTCATTTGTTTAATCATCCACCAATGCCTGGCAACCACTGATGATTTTTCCTGTCTCTATACCTTTCTAGACTGTCATATAGTTAGAATCATATAGTAAGTAGCCTTTTCATATTGGCCTCTTTAATTTAGCCACATGCATTCATAGTGTTGACATGCTTTTTGATGGCTACACAGTTCATTTATTTTTAGTGCTGATAAATGTGCCATTCTATGTACATACTGGTTTGTGTATACACTCCTCCTGAAGCCAGGAGCCAGGTGCTTCATCTAGGTCCTTCACATGGATGCAGGGGCCCAAGTACTTGGACCATCTGCTGCTTTCACAGGCACATTAGCAAGAATGCTGGATCAGAAGAGGGGCAGCTGGGACTTGAACTGGCACCCATACGCAATGCTAGTGCTGCAGGTGGTGGACTTAACCCACTGTGCAGCAGCACCAGCCTCAGCACATTTCTCTTATAAATATTTTGCATCTCTAAAAGGTGACCAGAATATGCTGTGGTTCCTGACTTATTTGAACACAAACCTCTTTCTGACAAAAATGTAAGAAACACATTACAGAAACTGTCGCTCCCCCATTCGCGGAGGAACGACACCAGACCCTGCGCTGTTCTTTCGTCTGCTCGGCCCTTCCCAGGTTTGCTGCTGGTCCTTCCCGGGTTGGCTGCAGACCCCTCCACCTCCGTGGAGGGGCGGCTCCCCCTGCCACTTTCCCCCGCTTCCGCGGAGGAGCGGCACACTGCTGGCCGGCTCTCTTGGGGGCTGCACAGGTGTTCCTTCAGATGTTCCCGGTGCATGTTGTCTCTCTCCTCCTTTATAGTCCTCTTCCACCAATCCCAACTCTGCTGCCCACACGCCAAGCACGCTGCTCTCCTCCAGTCAGGAGCAGGATCAGCTCCTGCAGCTTATCAGTCAAATTGGTGAGAGGCAGCTGTGTAGAAGTTTACTCCTCCCCAGCGCCATATTGTGGGAGAGCAGATGCATAGAATAAGTCTTAATTCCAGTAACTTAGTCTAGTCTCAGTTGCTCCCCACAAGAAACAGCATATTAAATGCTATTTATTTGTCCTTTAGCAAACCAGTTTTTGACTCTGAACAATAGATCAAAACTCTAAGACCAGACAGACATGATTATTATGTTGTTCTTTGACTGTTTAGAAAGAAGGACTATAGTCTGGATTTTCCAATCATTTTTGCCAGGGCTGAGGGTCCATGAAAGGAGTCTTTCAAGTTCTAATCTGGTCTTCTGATGTCCTTGAAGCATGGCTGATAGGACTTTAGAAAAAAATGACTTTTATAAAAAGAAAGATATCAATGGGTATCTGCTATCTCTCAACAGGAATACCAAAGGGATGTGTTGGGGATACAGCAATAAATCACCTTAGGGAAAAAGTTCAGACTACCAAAAGTGGCAATATGAGTTTTTGATGCAGGCAGCCCCATTGAATGATTACCAGGTTTTCCTGATAGGTTCTACTAAGGAAGAGAACTGGTTAATATTCAAGTTACCCCTCAGATCCAGCTGACAGACTAGGACAGCCAATCATTTTTCTTGGGGCACCAATCTACCTGGGCATGAAACATCCATACAATAAATGGGACATATTTCCAATATTCAGGAGGCAAAAACTCTCTTAAACAAATGGCTGCAGATAGAGCCACCTAAAGGACAAGTCTCTGGTATACACTTACAGATCTTGCTCAGATTCTTAAATTGTGCTTATACAAGGCAGAGCAATCTGTATAAACATTCATCTGATCCACAGATTTTACACACTTGATCTTAGCCAAAAGGCCGAGAAGCGATGATCCACAGATTTTAATGTTCATACAGTTTTAGCATTTTCATGCTAAGTTGTAAGCCCCCGTGTCACTAATAAAAACACATTCATGACCTTTACTGTGGTAATTAACAACATTTCAGGTGTTAATCAAGACAAGACAACTGAAGCCCTTGTGGTGGCCTCTATGTGGAATGGTTTCCTGAGTTGGACCTAGCTTATCATTTCGGAATACATCATCCTCTGGTAGGGCAACCAAATTTCCCATAGGAAAAGCACAAAGTGATTGGCACATGCATGTTATCACAGCAAAAAAAAAAAAAAAAACCACCTTAAAAACTAGTGTTTTTAAGGACATTTCAGGCATAGATTAACAAGGTCTTTATTCTGTGAGCTTGACAAATTTCATCTCTATACAGTTTATATTTAGCAAGGAAGAATGTGCAGATTGCCTATCACACTAACTAAAGTTGAAAGTTATGTTTAAGATTCAATATATTTGAATAATATCACTTACGTATTAGTATTTTTCTTTCGAGAGAACCAGCGATACTGACGATTCTTTTTGAATCTCTTCATATCACCATGCGGTTAAATTCAATCCAAAATCTAAGAAAAGTAAAAGCACTTGTGAATTTTATATCCCATGTCTTTAGACACCTTTCATATCCTTCAAATTAGGAAGACTCACATAGAGCTTATTAGGAATGGATCAGCATTTCTAAGGTACTGAATCCATAAACATAGGAAATCTACAGTACCATGTAATTTGATCACTCATGTGGAACACGCATTCTGTATTTGTGCTTGGTATTTTAGTTCCAAAAGAAGAAAAAAATTTTTTTGAATATTCAACAACATGTAAGTTTACCTGCAGTACATTTATTTTTGAAACTTGCTGGTTGTTTTTAAAAGATTTTTTTTAATTTCTTAGAAAGGCAGTTATAGAGAGAAACAGAGAGACAGAGAGAGTGAGACCTTCTATCTGCTGGTTCACTCCCCAAATAGCTGCAATGGCTGGAGCTGGGCTGATCTGAAGCCAGGAGCCAACACCTTCTGGATCACCCACATGGATTCAGGAGCCCAAGCATTTGGGCCATCCTTGGCTGCTTTCTCAGGCCATTAGCAGGGATCTGGATCGGAAGTGGAGCAGCTGGGATTCAAAATACACCCAAATGGGATGCTGGCACTGCAGGCATTGTCTTTACCTGCTATGCCAGAGCAGCAGCTTTACCTGATATGCCACAGAACTGGCCCCAGAATACACACTTTTAAGATCACCCAGTTGCTACACAGAATGCAGAAAGTGAAACAAAATCTATTATATCTCAATGTCTGTATAATCATAGTGACTTATGATATTTCCATCCTGAAATATTCTGCAGAATAAATCAAAGATGTGTGAGAAAAAGAGATGTATCCCTCAACATTACACCCAGTGGCTTTGTGTCGTGTAAGAAAATTGGAAGTCACTGGAAAACAAGACATTTCCGATCACATTGCCAGGGAAAAACAACCAGTGACTACACTTAGGCAGCCAGAATTGTGCCATAAGCCCCTAAACTCTTAGCAAGGAGAGAAAAATAAAAAGTAATAGAAAAATAATTTTTTAAAAAAATAAATAGTCCAATTTGGGCATAAATATCAATTTTGAGTTTTGGACCTATGCCACAGGCACCTGTAACTTTCATACTTCTGAGAGGATATCAACTCATCGGTAAAGGAGGTAGAAATCCCCAAGCTCCCAGTCTACAACCTGGTGATACAGAGATGCGGTAGAGTCACATCTTTAGATGTGAACTAGGGTCAGCCAAGGCAAAGTGGGATTTCTAAGAATCTTCTCTTTCTTACTAAGGCTCAGAAGAGGCTAGAAACAACAGATTACAGTAGGTCTCGGTCTTGGGTACTCCTGCAGATTCCCCTAAAAGGGAGCCAACTTTTTTTAGATCTTGATTCAAGTTTATTTTCCTACTATCTTTCAGAATACCTGTTTCCCTTTTTTCATATTTTCTTGTGTGTGTATATATATATTTTTTTCTGGTATTTAATTTTCCCAAATCCAAGTTTGTTAAGTCAAATCTTTACTCAATTGCTTGCCAGCAACAAGGTCACTACTACTTAACCAATATCGACTTAGTCGTTCACTGGTCCCAGATGGTAAGGGAGATTTGGGAGGTCCCCCAGAGGGTAGAGAATGGTGCTCTTCTCATCACTGGGCTCAAGGCTGTCTTCCCATCTATGAGCCCTGAAGACTGAGCCAGTCCCCACTCTCTTCCCTCCCTTTTCTCCAGCTATACACCTCCATTGTTTTCATGAAAATGAGAAGGTAGGGGATAGAATAGGGGGATCTTGCTCAGAGATCCTTACCACCATGTCCTATGCCTTTGGCTGCGAACATGCCAATGAAGGAACAAAAATTCCATGTCATGGCAACCACAGATTCTGGTGGTCCTGAGATCATTGTGAGGAAAGAATGGAATGAACTTGGTCCCAGACTGCAAAGATTTTTTTAAAGACAAATGCTGTTTGTTTTACAGTTGGGTGATAGAGTATACCAACATCAAATACTCCAGAAGAATAATCTCAAAGCAGAGATTATTCAATCTGTTTTTTTTCTCTTGTATATAATGGAGGGGATTCTTATATACATAGATACTTCAAAAACTAGCTTTATCTTCTTCGTGGTTTGGAAGACTCAATACAGTTAAGATGTCAGTGTTGGGCACCAAAAAATATGTTGTGCCCAGATCATTAGATCCCTGAAGAGACCCCCAGAGAGTCGATCACACCGAACTGCAAAAGCAAGGTTTATTCAGGAGTACAAGCCGCGACAGGGACCCCATCCAACCAACCGGCACAGCAGAGGAAGGAGTGAGGCCCCGGTCTTTGTTTGGGAGAGTTTTTAAAGGAAAAAAAGGGCTACATCAGCAGGAAAAAAGAGTTACATACAGTAGGGATACTTCGGGTACAGGGAGTTACTTTGTTTAGCAATCTCTACTGTGCTGTCCTTGGCCTACCAAACTAGCTGTCCCTGGTAAGCTTTGACATCTCCGGAATGTCTGAATGCCTGCTTTTACAAGGACTCGGGTCTGCTATGGGAAACGGAGGCTGCTTTTTTTATTGTTTTAAAATGGAGTCACTTTGGTTCTTTATCAGTTCTTCCTCAAAAGAGTGTACAAATTCAATGTAATCTCAATCAAAAATTCCATTAGGCTTCAAGAAAATTTTGGTAGAATTGGCAAGTGTTTCTAAAATTCATGTGGAAATACAAAGGAATTAGCATAAACCAAACAACTTTGAAAACAGAACAAAGTTGGAGGGCAAACATGAGTTGATATTGAAAACACGTTTCAAAACAAGTTTCATATAAACAAAACAGTATAGGACAGACTGAAGTAAAAATAAATCAATTAAACAATCAAAAGAATAATAAAGAATCAAAAATCAAGGTATATACCTACACAAATAGCCAACAGAGATGGAAAGAGAAGTCAGCCACACAGAGTAGTGTTTTCAAAAAATAGAGGATTATTGATTGGAAAAATAACTTCAGTATATAAGTCTCATCATACCAAAACCCAGAAAAATAAATGTAAATCTAAAAATCAATCAAATTTCAGGAGAATACTCTATGGCCTGTGTTAAGCAAAGTTTTCTAGACACAACCCCAAAAACACTATCCACAAATTAAAAATTGGCAAATTAGGCTTCATCAAATTTTTAAACTTCTCTCCAAAAGACAGTTAAGAGAATGAGAAAGGATTTCACAGCCTGGAAGAAAATCATTCCAAAGCATATATTTTAAAAGAGACATCCAAGGGACTCCAAGATGGTAGAATGGGAATGGAAATTACTGCTCTAGTCAAGGGCAAGATAGTTTAAAAAAAAAAAAAGAGAGAGAGAGAGAGAGAGTGAAATCTCAGGGAACAGTTAAGAAGAAAACTGCAGTGGGAACTCCATATAAGTTAGAAGGATGCTGTAGATCTAAGTAGAGGGTGTGGACATGCAGCATAAATACAGACACAACACAGGACCCCAGCAGCCAAGAGCCTCAGCGACAGCTTTGGAGAGTGAGGTGAGAGCCACAAAGCTTTGAGTAGAGCCTGGCATGAGTCTGGCTTGGAGCCCTGTGAGGGACAGTGTACCTACCATTCTAAATAAAAACAAAGGGGCCTGTTTCTCTCTCCTCCTGGCCACCTTACAATGGCATCCTGTAACTAGCTGAGAGAGGGTAGGTGCCATTTTGACATAGGTAATTGCTGCACCAGCTTGTGTCCATTCAACCAGTAGCCACCTGAGAGGAGACGTCCTGAGTCTGGCTGGGAGAATTGACAAGGGGCTGGGTGCCCATGACTGTGGGAGCCTTGTGTTCAGGGACAGTGAAAAATTGTGGCTGTGTAGGAGGGCACAGGTGTGGCTGGGTCTCTGGGCAGTTGCTGTGGGAAGCTACACACACCCCAGGCTCCCTGATTGCCTTGGGAGGGCCATTGCTGAGAGATCTGTGCTCACATTGAAGATGGCATTGATACTTTGTGTGGTTCTTGTGGCAGCATGGATGAATACTGCCCCACTAGGGATAGCACCCAAGGCATTGCCTTGGAGGAGAGGAGTTCAGTCTGAGACTATACCAGTAGAGCCGATCAAACCCTCACCTATAATAATAAAAAAAGAGGGCTTTTAGCATGTCCAACTTGGTTGTGACCTTGGACATTCCCCTCACCTTGCAACACTGAACAGAGCTCTCTGTTAATACCCTTCATACACCTCTGAAAGAGCAGAGACTTCACTAAGCCATAGAGGCATAGTCCAAAGATAAAACCCATCAAGAGGAAAACAAAACTACAGATATCTCCAAAAATGCTTAAAAATAATTGCAGAAATTCAAGAAACAAACATAGACTACATGACCCTCCCCCAAAGGAACACACACACACACACAATAAAAACACATCAATACCAGAATCTGAAGAGGAAAAGTTTAATGAAATGCCAGTAACTAATTTTAAGAAATTGATTATAGGATTACTTAGAAGTAACCAGAGGCAAATTCAGGAATTACAGTAATCTTTATGTGATATGAATGAAAATTTTCCCATGAAATTAAAGGGGAATCAAAATGAAATTTTATAAATTAAGAATTCAATAGATCAAATAATAAATGTGGAAAACTTTAACCAGACTCGGTGAGGCAGAAGAAATAATATCTGAGTTAGAAGACAAGTCTCTAGGCCGGCGCCGCGGCTCACTAGGCTAATCCTCCGCCTAGCGGCGCCGGCACACCGGGTTCTAGTCCCGGTCGGGGCGCCGGATTCTGTCCCCGTTGCCCCTCTTCCAGGCCAGCCCTCTGCTGTGGCCAGGGAGTGCAGTGGAGGATGGCCCAGGTGCTTGGGCCCTGCACCCCATGGGAGACCAGGAAAAGCACCTGGCTCCTGGCTCCTGCCATCGGATCAGCGCGGTGCGCCGGCCGCAGCGCGCCGGCCGCGGCGGCCATTGGAGGGTGAACCAACGGCAAAGGAAGACCTTTCTCTCTGTCTCTCTCTCTCACTGTCCACTCTGCCTGTCAAAAAAAATAAAAGAAAAAGAAAAAGAAGACAAGTCTCTAGAAATTTTACAGTCAGACCAAAAAAAGAAGAAATCAGAAAAATTAAAACCAGTGTTGGATATTTATGGGATACTATCAAAGGACTCAATGTATGGGTCTTAACAGTTTTAGAAGGTGTGGAAAGAGAGAATGGATTAGAAGACCTTTTTATTGAACAAATTACATACAACTTCCCCAATTTGGAGAATGAAAGGGATGGCCAAGTACAGGAAGCACATAAAACTCTTAATAGATGTGACCAGAAAAGATTTTCACCAGTAAACACTGTAGTCAAACTTTTGAAGTAAAACATAAAGAAAAGATTCTAAAATGTGCATGAGAGAAATGCCAGATTACTTTCATAGGATCTCCAATTAGACTCACAGCTGACTTATCAGAAACCCTACAGTCTAGGAGAGAATGAGACATATACCATGTGGGACATGCCTATTTGGGTACCAGCCAGAAACATCAACCTGCAACTGTCAACCAGAACCAGCTGAACAAGACTGAGAGTCCTCCTTTTTAGCAGGCACACCTGTCCTATCATCTTGCCCTGAGGAACTGCCCATAGCCACATCCACTACTGCTTTATACTCCACTAGCTCTGGTCAGCCACTCAAATGGCCCACAGCCTGCGTGCAGTCATGCCATTCCTGATTACCATTGCTCCTCATTCCTACCCCATCTGAGCAAGCACTCCTGTGGTCTCCCATTTTGAGGGCTGGTTAGTCAAAGACGGGTAAGATCCCCTGGGGGACAACCTAAGATAGGCATAGCCACGTACAGAGACCCCAAGGAAACAGGGTCAACAATGGTATGGCCAAGAATCATGCCGCCCATTGCTCAAAAAATAAACGAATAGGTGGAAATGTGATGGAATGAGGGCCATGCCAAGATGGCCACTAGCAGCAGAGCCTGCCTGGCAACAGGCTGCAGTTGAATGGCTTTGGATACTGCCTGGCAACAGGCTGTGATTGGTTAGGGCATAAACCACCCCTTGATCAGATTGGCTGCCTTGGCTACATAAGCAGCTGCCAACTGAAATAAACGAGTCTGCAGGCTGCTCGCCTCTGGCCTGCTTTGTCCTGACTCCCGGGGTCTGTGTGGTGACTGCATGCCTCTTGCCCCCACTACGCTCCTCCTCTCAGAATGAATCCACAGCAACATATTCTTTCATTAATTTTTCCTGTATTTATAGGATTCTGATCCCACCTTGCTGAATTCTAGTGTCCTCCTTTGAACAATCACCACAAGATGTAGCTATCTACCAGTTCCTTTAGTTGTTTGTAGGGCAGAAGTCAGTGGAGCATCTTGATGCAGTCATCATGGATATGTCTTTTACAGACTCTTTCGTAAAAGATTTATTTTATTTATTTGAAAGACAGAGTTACAGAGAGAGGTAGAGACAAAGAGGTCTTCCATCCACTGATTCACTCCCCAGATGGCCACAATGGCTGGAGCTGCACCAATCTGAAGAAAGGAGCCAGAAGTTTCTTCCAGGTCTCCCACATGGGTGGAGGGGCCCAAGGATCTGGGCCATCTTCTACTGCTTTCCCAGGCCATAGCAGAGAGCTGTATGGGAAGAGGAGCAGCCAGAACTAGAACCAGCGCCCATATGGGATGTCGGTACTTCAGGCCAGGACTTTAACCCAGTGGGCCACAGTGCTGGCCCCTTCTACAGACCTTTGACATGCCCTCCTTTGTGTATACATATGTACATGTATGTAAATACAGACATGCATATTTGAGGCCTTGAAATGGTTAATGGAAAATGGAATTAGAATATAATGTACATTCTTCATGAAATTTTTGAAGTGATCTGTACAAATCTTTTATGTACACACATCAATAGATACACATTTTTACACAAACTTCTGTTCACAGCATGCACACACGCAAACACACACACAGACACACACACAATGTAGACAAAGGCCATGAAAAGAAAGAGAGGTCAGGATATGTAATATTCACTGTGAGGAGTATCCTTAGCAACATAGACTCTATTTGACACTATCTAAACCTTTTCACTATAGGATCTGTAAATAAATTCAAGTATATTTATTAGATCTAATTGAGTAAAAGAGGCATAAATCATGAATGGGATGTTTACTGCTTGGTGTGTTTGTTATTGTTAGTAGCATCCAATTCCTTACAATACTGTCTAAAGTTTTCCATTTATGATCTATACTACAGTGAGCCATAGAAAGAAAGAAATCTATGGGGAGAAAAAAGGAGGAAGTAATGGACAAGCAACAGAGACATTCTTAGCAGAAATGATCAGAGCTAATGGAACCTGGAGGTGTCTCTCATCCTCCAGAACTCCGTCACTATGTGAGGCTGGTCGCCCAAACCCAACCTCCTTTTGGAGGTTTCCCATGACTCAAGCCTGCAGCTGTATGACTGTATGTTATATGAAGGAAAGTGAAATCTGTATGAAGGCAGGAAGGTGATGGAGAGACTTGAGAATTGGAAATCTAGGTGGAGTGGAGTGATGCATGCCTAAAGTAAATTTGAATTCAAAGAAAATGCTGAAAAGTAGAAAAGCCGTTGGGACTGGTGTTGTGGTGCAATGGATGGAGCTGCCAGTTGCAGCACTGGTATCAGACTTACAGTTTGAGCCTCACCTATTCCTATTCCAATACAGCTTCCTCATAATACACCTGCAAAAGAAGTAGATGATAGCCAAATTACTTGAGTTTTTGCCACCCACATGGCAGATCCAGATGAAGTCACTGGCTTCTGGCTTCTGCCTGGAATAGCCCTAGCCATTGCAGGCATTTGGGGAGTGAATGAGTAGCTGGAATATCTCACTGTCTCTCCTCTCTATGACTCTTTCAAATAAACAAAATAATATTTTTTAAAAAAGATTTAAGACCTCAGTCACTCATAGGGACTTAGGTAATAACCAAGAGTTCACATCATCTGGAAGCATTGCTGATTTCACAGGAATTTGCTTCTCCTTAGTGGAAGATAAAGTTTTATTTCCTTTAAAAAAAAAAAGAATTTGTTTCTTCATTTGAAAGGCAGAGGTACAGAGAAGAGGGGCAAGACAGAGAGATTTTCCAGTCACTGGTTCACTACCCAGATGTCCACAACAACTGGGATGGTGCTGGGCTGACCCAGTAAACCAGGACTTCTTCCAGGTCTTCCATGTGGGTACAGGGACCCAAGCACTTGAGCCATCTTCTGCTGCTTTCCCAGATGTATTATCAGAGAGCTGGATTGGAAGTGGAGCAAAAGTCATGAAAGGCATGCCTCTTTCCAGTCAGTATCTTTGTCACTTATAGGTGATAGCCACCAATCCCTCAGGAAACTCAGGTTTCTCATTTGTGGGTCTCTGCTAAAGTGGGCTGAAAAAGGAGAGATTTCTATTTGGAGCAAAGAGGAGGAGGAAGTAGTCAGGGAACCACTATGCCCTCAGCAGAAGTGATCAGGGCTAATGGAACCTGGATTTGTGCCTCACCATCCAGTTCTCTGCCAACATATAAGGCTGGGGACCCCCTCTCAGCATCATTTAGGAGAGAGTCTCTGACTCAGGCCTGTAGCTACTTGACCATATTTCATGGGCAAAAAAAGACAATGATGCATGGAAATAAGGACGTGGTGGAGGGACTTCAGAATATGAAATATAGTTAGGATAAAAGGGATGTTTCCTATAACTTATAGTTAAATTTGACATAAATGTAACCCTAAAATACTTTTACATCTTGGGATTAAATATAGCTTACTTCACTCTGGATAAACTTCCATTTTCATAGACCTGAAATGTTTACAACTGGTATATAAAGCCTTACTATTAATTTTTAAAAAGACCTTCCAAGTTCAAATAAGTGATTTACACAAGTGCATTGACATATCATTCAGAAACTAGAGTAATAATGAAGAGTTTTACATAAATCTTGAGGCACATTTTCTCAGGATTAAGATATTGACTACTGGTGTAGAAAGCCTCATTTTTTAAAATTTATTTGACAGAGCTATAGACAGTGAAAGAGAGAGAGACAAAAAGAAAGGTCTTCCTTCCATTGGTTCACCCCCCAAATGGCTGCTATGGCCAGTGCTGTGCCGATCCGAAGCCAGGAGCCAGGGGCTTTTTCCTGGTCTCCCATGTGGGTGCAGGGTCCCAAGCACTTGGACCATCTTCCACTGCCATCCCAGGCCACAGCAGAGAGCTGGACTTCAAGAGAAGCAACCAGGACTAGAACCCAGCACCCATATGAGATGCCGGCACCACAGGTGGGGAATTAACCAAGTGAACCATGGCACTGACCCAAAAGTCTCATTCTAATTACAATGAAACATTGAGTTCAAACAGTGATACATACATGGAATTTAAAGATCATTCAGTTTATGTCTATAGGCTTTTGACCCAAGAAAAATATAAGATTGAAAAAAATTCTCTCAAAACTAAAATATTGATTACTAACATAGAAAACCTCATTTCTAACAAAAATGGCACAATGAATTCAAACAGTGATATATACATGAATATTTAAAGATCACTCAGTTATGTCTGGAGTACTTTTAGGTTTTTTACCCAAGAAAATTAAGTTCAGAATTACACCTCAAGTTCAACTATATACACTCTTTTTTTAAAAAAAAAAAAAAGGTTTATGTATTTGAAAGTCATAGTTACACCCAGAGAGAAGGAAAGACAGAGACAGAAAGAAATAGAGAAAAAGAGAGGCGAGAGAGAGAGAGAGAGAGAGAGAGAGAGAGAGAGGTCTTCCATCCTCTGGTTCACTCCCCAATTGGCTACAATGGCCAGAGCTACACTGATCTGAAGCCGGGAGCCTCCTTTGGGTCTCCTATGTGGGTGCAGGGGCCCAAGGACTTGAGCTATCTTCTACTGCTTTCCCAGGCCATAGCAGAGAGCTGGATTGGAAGTGGAGTAGCTGGGACTGGAACCAGTGTCCATATGGGATGCCAGCATTTTAAGTGGCAGCTTTACCCACTATGCCACAGCGCTGGCTTCTCAAATATATACTCCTAAAATCCCTTACTTCAAACACACGCACACACACACAAATTAATATATATCCATATATCCTTCTGGAAACACACATTTACAAACATACACTACAGAAAAGGTGAACAAGAAAGAGAGAAACAATTGTGAAATTACTCTTAGGTGCCTCCATGGCAATACAGCATATCTTCTGATACTTTCGAAATCTTTTCACGGTAACATCTGTCGGTATCTTTCCAGTTCTTTTAGAAAGAGTTGGTTATAGAGGAGTGTATTATAAGAGGGATGCTTCTTCCTGTTGGTATATTTGTCATTCTTAGTTGCAGCCCACCTCTTGGGAAACTGTCAGATTTCTTGTGATGAGACTCTATTGGAGTGAGTCAAGAGAGGAGAGGTTACTTTTTGAAGTAAGGAGGAGGTAGCAGTGGATAGGCAGCAGAGACCCCAGCATAAAGGAAGAGACATGTGGGAGTTCCTCACCCTGTGAATCTCTGTGACCATGTGAGGCTGGTGCCAAAATCCAAACTCACCATTACACTGGATGGAACCCCAGTCCCAGGCGTGCAGATACTTGATTATACCTCATAGGCAAGAAAAACAACTGTTGATGGAGGAATGTGAGGAGAGGTGATAGAGGGAATAGGGGGCAGGATATTAGATGCAATTAGAGTTGAGCATCTACAAACCCCACTGGTATTTGAAATAATATAAACCAAAAAGGCTGTTATGTGTTTTATCAGTTTCAGTAATAAGGAGCTGTACTTAAATCATGAATTGCTTTTTAGACATAAATATACATTTTGATCACAGAAAGTGTCATTTCTAGTACTTGAGCCATTATTGTGACACATCAGATTCCAAATAGCTAATAATTGATTTACAGGTGAATTGTTTGGAGGACATCTAGTTTATAAATTGAAAAGTAACTATAAATGTTCTAAGCTTAAAAACTAAGTCAAGGGGACCAACATTGTGGTGTAGCGGGCTAAGCCGCCACCTCCAGTGCCGGCATCCCATATGATAGGGCGCCAGTTCAAGTCCCGGCTGCTCCTCTTCTGATCCAGCTCTCTGCTGTGGCCTGGGAAAGCAGTAGAAGATGGCCTAAGTCCTTGGGCCCCTCCACCAACATGAGAGACTCAGAAAAAGCTCCTGGGTCCTGGGTTCGGATCTGTGAAGCTCCAGCCAGACCTGTGCAGCTCCAGCTGTTGCAGCCAATTGGTGAGTGAACCAGCGGATGGAAGACCTCTCTCTCTCTCTCTCTCCCTCTCCACCTCTCTCCCTCTCTCCCTCTCTCCCTCTCTCCCTCTCTCTCTCCCTCTCCTTTTCCTTCTGTGTGTAACTCTGACTTTCTTACTGTGTACCTTTTTAATCCTTTAGCACGGTCCTATATGAATTGAAACAGTCAGGTAGACAAACCAATATGATATAAATGAATAAATACACATTTCTATCTGTTTCTCTCTATAGACATACATGTGTTCATGAAATATAAGCATGCACACAAACAGCATACAGAAAGACTAGGATTTTGCTTATTCACTGTCAAGAGCATCCATATAATAGTGTTTCCTTAATGTAGCTTTTACCCTCCTCTCATGGTAAGCTTCAGTATGGAATATTTTTTGTTTTTTTTTGGGGGGGGGGTTAAGGTAGAAAAAGGAAGAAAAACTTATTGAGGGGAACTCATTATTTCTACTGTTTATTACTCCTCGTTACTGTGCAGAGACTATACTAGTGTGAAAGGAAGGAGAGAATCCTGTTTGAAGCAACATGGAAGTAGCAATGACAGAAGGCAGAAGAGACCTCATCTAATTAGACTCTTGTCTATCCATTATCCTCTACAACTTGGCCACCATACAAACCTGATTCTCCAAACGCACATGCATCATCACATTGGATAGTGTCCCTGTCTCAAGGCTTCAGCTTCTCAAACCTATCCTTTGGGCAAGAAATACAACCACAATGGGTGAAATTAAAGATGTGATGGAGGGAATTGGGAATCAGGAATTTTGAGAGAACAAAAATATAAGGAATAAAAATTGAAAGTGAACTTGAAATGGATTTCATAGGAAAACGGTGTTATGCTTTGGCATTAAGATCTACTTACATGGGGTGAGCATTTTGCACAAAAGCTAAGAGATCAATTGGGACACTCTCATCTCATAGTGGAGAGCTCACATCACATATTGGAGTGCCTGGTTAGAGTTGGCTCCTCTGCTTCCAACCCTGCTTCCTACTAATGCACATCCTGGAAGGCAGTCAATAATGGCTCAAGTACTTGAGTACCTGCAACCAACATAAGAAACCCAGATGGAGTCTCAACGTCCTGGCTTCAGCCTGGCCTACCTCTGGCTCTTGTGGACATTTGGAAAGTGAACCACTGGATGGAGGTCACTTTCTCTCTCTGCCTTTCAAATAAAATTAAATAAATAAAAATTTAAAAATTCTAGTTATTTAATCTTGCTGTATTAGTATTTTATGAGTCTGGGATATTCAGCATTGATGTATAAACCTCATTTCTAATTTTAAAAAGGACATGCCAATCCAAATTGGTGATATGCACATGAATATGTGAAGATAAACTAAGTCAAAACTCAAAGACACAAAGTGTAAGCTTAAAATTACATAGCATATTGAACATGTACCATTTTAACCCGTTATCTCAAATATGAATGACCCAACAAAAGTAACCCATGGCAGAGTAACCAATAAAATGTGAGTACATGTTTTTGTCCACATACACAAAGACACAGGTACACATACTCACACAAGAAAACTCTAAGACAATGACAGAGAGAGATTGAGATTTCTGAGATTTTCTTTCTGGAGCATCTATGGTAATCAGTGTCTTTTAAAAAATGTACAGAGGCTGCAGAGGCTGACATTTGGTGGAACAGTTATGCTGATTGAGATGTTTACTTCCCATATCAGGGTGCTTGGGTTTCAGCCCTTGCTCTGCTCTCAATTCTAGCTTTCTGCTAATGCACAGCCTCAGTATGGTGGCAGCAGATGATGGCTCAAGTATTGAGTTCTCTGCTACCCATGTGGGAGACCTAGAATGAGTTGTGAGCTTCTGAGTTTACCTGTCCCAGCGTAGGCTGTTGCAAACTTCGAGGATTAAGCCAGCAAATGGGAGACCTCCCTCTCCCTCTCTCTCAAATAAGTACAAATATATTTTTAAATGTTTTTTTTTCTTTTTTTAATTTTTTTTTTTATTTTGACAGGTAGAGTCATAGACAGTGAGAGAGAGAAACAGAGAGAAAGGTCTTCCCTCTGATGGTTCACTCCCCAAATGGCCACCACAGCCGGTGCTGTGCTGATTCGAAGCCAGGAGCCAGGCGCTTCTTCCTGGTCTCCCATGCAGGTGCAGGAGCCCAAGCACTTGGGCCATCCTCCAATGCCCTCCTGGGCCACAGCAGAGAGCTGAACTGGAAGAGGAGCAACCAGGATTAGAACCTTGCGCCCATATGGGATGCCGGTGCCACAGGCAGAGGATCAACAGAGTGAGCCACGGCGCTGGCCTCAATATTTTTGTTTTTTCAAATTATATAAAAATATTTATTTGAAAGGAAGAGTTCCAAGGAGAGAGGGAGTAACAAGTCTCACATGCTGGCCCCTAAAATATTTCTTTTGACATATTTATTTTTTATTTGAAAGGTAGAGTTATGGAGAGGCAGAGAGAGAGAGAGAGAGAGAGAGAGAGAGGTCTTCCCTATGCTGGTTCACTGCCCAGATGGTCTCAATGACAGGAGCTGAGCTGATCCAAACCTAGGAGCTTATTCTAGGACTCCCAAGTGGATTGTTGAGCCCCAAGGATTTGGGCCATCTTTCGCTTTCCCAGACCATACTAGAGAGCCAGATTGGAAGCAGAGCAGCAAGGATTTGAACCAGCACTCATATGGAATGCTGGCATGACAGGTGGCAGATTTACCTGCTATGCCATAGTGCCAGCCCTTCTAGAAATATTTTTAAAGTTGTACAGATTCATGGAGTACAATGTGATGTTTCAATACATGTATATATCACATAATGATCACATCACGGTAAATAACATTCTCTGGGGCTAGCGCTGTGAACCATTGGATGGAAGACCTCTCTATCTCTTTCTGCCTCTCCTCTGTGTAACTTTGACTTTCAAATAAATAAATAAATCTTTAAAAAGAAACATTCATTGACACAAGCATTATTTCTTTGCGGTGAAACAGTCCTCTCTTCTAGCTAGTTTGAAATATATGGTGTATTATTATTATTATTATTATTATTGGCAGGCAGGGTAGACAGTGAGAGAGAGAGAAAAAAAGGTCTACCTTTTCAGTTGGTTCACCCTCCAATGGCCGCTGAAGCCGGTGCACCACACTGATCTGAAGCCAGGAGGCAGGTGCTTCTCCTGGTCTCCCATGCGGGTGCAGGGCCCAAGGACTTGGGCCATCCTCCACTGCACTCCCAGACCACAGCAGAGAGCTGGACATGAAGAGGAGCGACCGGGACAGAATCCGGCGCCTGACCGGGACTAGAACCCGGGGTGCAGGTGCCACAGATGGAGGGTTAGCCTATCGAGCCGAAGCGCTGGCAGTTTTTTTGTTTGTTGTTTGCTTTGTTTTGTTTTTAGAGCCCCACGCAGCCCAAGGCGGGGGCCTGGTTCGCGGCACAGGTGCAGCAGGGACACCGCCAGCGCCACTGGCTCAGGGGCCACCGCCCCCGTCTGCACCGGGCCGCAACACCACCATGAAGCGCCCGGGCACCCGCAGCAGCCGCTCCAGGGCGTTGACGTCCGGGCCCCACCGCAAGCGGCGCCGCAGTTCCGTCAGCTCCAAGGAACCCCAGCAGCGCACAGCACCTGGGTCACCTCGGCGACCGCGGCGGGCTGCGCAATGGCCGCCGCCGTGAGGGCGTCGAGGGCGTCGGGCTGCTGGGCCCCGAGCCGTCGAACCACGCGTGCTGAAGCGCCGCCAGCGGCTCGGGCTGCTCCCGCGAGGTGGAAACGCCGGCGGGAAACGAAACCCCTATTGTAGTTCCATTCTTGATGTTTTCAGGAACCTAAAAACTGATTTCCAAATGGCTATATTAATTTACATTCCCGCAAATAGTGTTTATGGATGCCTTTTTTCCACATCCTTGCCATCACTTGTTAC